TCTGTCCGCGTGCTTGGTTGCTTATGGGCGCCGCTAGTCTGTGCTGTTTTTATCTGCGCTGTGTTGCGGCAGTGTCCGATAACCTGTGGACAGAGCGGGCAGTCTGGAAGGGAACTCGACACTCGGCTTAGACAAGAACTCGTCAAATTCCACATCCTTTTTTTTTAATTATTTTATCGCAGTTACAGATATAATGTCGACGGGTTTGTTTTTCTCGCCATCTCCGTGCAAATCCGTTCGCATTTTTTTTTTTTTTTTTTTACTTTTTCTAGTTTTTGCTGTGCCGTTTGAACGTTTTGGCCGATGCCATTTTCAGCGTTCTTGCTCGACCCGTGTTTTACTCGCTTTCCAAAACGAGGAATTCGCACGTGTCGGTCTGCGGATTTAAAAGCATCAGAAAACTGTATACGTGCCACGACGACGTTCACACACAAGGGCGTCTTCCCTTGCTCGCACTACGCGTGCGCAGGAAACCCTGTTTAAATGAAAACGAGACATCTGCAGCTTGGCGTGACGTCAGAAATTTGAGTCGGTGAATTTAATTAGAGCCATAAAAGGTTTAACGGCTGAGTAAACGAGCTGGCATAACCGTCACGATAAATTTTATCATCGCAAAACCAGAAATTTCATCCTTTTGAGTGGGTTGGTTATACAGTATACAAATTTAGGGATAGAACATAAATTGACAGACAGGAATGACTCCTGAAAAGAAACAAAGAACGTAAAAGGAATACATGACTTTTCTACTGGCATCAACATTGTTGTCCCCTTTGGCAGTCATGTCTGTCCTTCCGTTAATATTCTCTCCCTAAATAGGGAGTTTTCGTAGATCGTTTCCGCTGTCCCGCAACGGCTCTCCGCAACCAGCTACGCTAGCCGGAACTCTACAGTCAAGGCCATCGGCGCGCCGGCGCAGTAGCGGCTGCTTCGTTGCGGAGGGCTTAGCGCAGAGGGAAACGCGGTCTACGAAAACTCCCTAATGTGCGTATCAGCGGAGAAAATTTCTCTGCCGTCGCGCCATCGGGTATGCTTTCCTGGAAACTCGAAAGTGAGGATGCTTCAGCATCTCTCCTCAACCTCTCCTGGCTCCCCCTCTCCTCACGCCATAATAAACAACAGCAATCTCCATTGTCGAAAGCAGAGCACGGGATGTGCTTGCTGGTCAGACGGAGTACCGCCGAGGTTCGCGGCGCCTTCTAAAGTTCTATTCACACAGTAGAGCTCGCACTGTGAGCCTGGTATGTTGCGACAGACAGACTATGGTGGGCTTCCCGCCTTACCGGTAAATAGACTCGTTCGCATGGAAAGCGGTCCGAGCAGCGGCATGCAGCGGCGGCGCGCGCTGGCCAAACGAGGTCGCCTCGGTGGATTCTGGCGGGCGAAATCGGGCGCCCTTGATACCGGTCGCTCGCTCTTTTCTTTTCTTCTTTCTTTATTTCTTCCGAAAGAGGAAGCGACGTGGGAAAAACAACATGGGCTCCGAGGATGCGCGCCGAGGAAAGGGGAAGGCCTGAAAAAGCTGCAGCAGCAAAAGCAAGATCCACAGGAGAAACACCCTGCGGCAATCGTACGGCCCAGCCTGCCAGGTCGACACTTCGAGGTCCGCGGGCTGGCTTTCTGTACCGAAGGAAACGGAGCGAATTCGGGTCGCCGCTGCGAATGTCTGCCTGCTGCGATGCTTTGAAGTGGCCCCGCCATGTTGACTTCGGAGCACGAGTGTGCCAGAGATTCGTGTACAAGGTTCCGCGATTCTTTCTATCGCTTTCCCCCCAGTCAATCAATCAACTAGACTATCTAATCTCCGTGCGGGGCTTCGTTCTCAAGTGGCTCCAAAAATCAATTTATTTTGCTCTTGTTTCTGGTTCACACACTTGCGTTTGACTCCGACCGACTGAGACAAGACCGGTTTTTAATCCTCTTGCGACTGGTTACGAACAGCTGCTCAGCGATGCAGCCGGTCGCAATACGTCGCAGTTGTACTCGGTGGGACTCATGAAGGTGTGTGAAGAGGATTACAAGCCAGTCTTGCCTCAGTCGTCGCAGGCAAACGCGTGTGTCTGTACGAACCTTGAACCAATCTGACCTCTTTTCTCTTTTCCTTTTTAACGAATTGCTGTTATTAACTTGGATGCCGCCGTGTTTGATGTGACCTTGCGCAACAACGCAGACACCAAAGAGGAACTGTCACCAAATCGGTGATGGTTCCTGTGTGTTTGTTGCACGAGAAAAAAAAAAAAAATAAAATATGAAACGTGGAAATTCCTACGCTCCTCAGGGTTGTTTCGGTCTCAAGGCGGGAACTTTCAAACGGAAGCTGCCACCGCGAGTTCCTCCGCGATAAAGCGTGGCGTGGCCCGAGCTGCGACACGTCTTTGCCTTCGTTTTGTTCTTCCTTTCACGCGTCCCACTGTCCGGACGCTGATTGTCGACGACACGAGCAGTTCCGCGAACGGGCGGTTGTTGCCGTTCCCAGACGCTATTCCCCCGAGCTTTTTTTTCTCTCTTCGATTCCTTGTTTGGCCACCTCTCGCTGTTTCCGTGCCTGATTTTGCAGAGGCTAGCTCGCGTTCGCATTCTGGAACAAGCTCTTCGAAGCGATGACACATCGTGCGCGAGTCCGTTCGCTTGTTTGTTTCGGCCGATCTGCATATTTTTCGGCGTAGTTTTTCGCCGAGCGTCGTGGTTTGCTGGTGTCGTGAATATGGGCCGTTTTCGGCGAAGCTCTGGAGTTGGATAAACGGCATAGACTGCGGTGATCTCTGTACCACGGTGGGTTCCGATTTAGTACGTTACGTTCATCCTCGGTGGCTTTTTGTTGACATTCGTTTCGTGGAATAGAAAGTGCGCGGAAAGATGTTTCGTCGCGGGCTCGCAGCGGTATTATCGTGCGACTCAAAACCAAAAGGTTTATAGACCGTTGGGGCTTGTTTTGTCGGCTTCGAGTTTTGAATGTAGTATTAAACACAATTGACAGTTTTTTTCATCATAATTGCAAAAGCGCTAAAGACAAGGACTGAAGAGGTTCAGAATTGGAAGACACACTAAAATCTCTTGCAGTTTTAACGCGTCGTCTCTGATTTGGTGGTGTCATATATAAAGGTACATTGCACCACTGTCCAGTTTTTTTTTTCTTTTTGTTTATTTGCACTATTGGGTTGATCAGTTTCGTGACGACATTAGAGAGTTTCAGAATATCGTTCCGATAACGATACCCGATACTCTGCCGTCGCCTTTGTGCGGTCGTCGTATCGTTATCGGGGGTATCGGGAGTATTTGAACGATCTACTAAAACTCTCTACTGCTCGCTGGATTTTAATGGCTTAGCCGCGGCGGCGGCGACGGCGACCACGCCGTGGCTGCTGCCTCATTTAAAACAAATGTCACATAGGATTTTTTTTTTATTTATTTAAATTATTTTCAACGGACGGGCGGAGGACGTAACTATATGAATAAAGATAGAAGAGTTTTGTGCTGGTCTGTCTTGAAGCTGCCTATTTTTCTGTTTCTTTTTTTCTTTTGTAAGCAAAAGCTACAAAGAAAAGACGGAAGTTTTTTACGCTTTCTGGCACCGTGACGCATTTTCACTTTTCTGCCGAAGATACGCTTCTCTGCTTTTACGTAGCACGTACTTGCCGCGGTTTTCCCCCCTTCGACGTGCTTCACGCGTACACGTCTGTCTCGTCAGTTCCTGGACGTTTTCTTTGTATATTTTTTTGTCGGCTTTTTTTTTTTCGGTCGCAGCCGCAGTGTCATCGACTATACGCATGCCGCGTTTTTGTTCGTCATTTTTCGTTGAACGCTGTCTGCTTTGTTCTGGAGTTTCGTTGTACGTTTCTGCTCAGCTGAAGACCGTTGCTAAATAGGTTAGGGCGCAATTTTCTTTAATGACAGGGCGCGTTTCTACACCGTCGTTCGGTCTGCTTGAACGGAAATAGGTCAGTCTGCTTGGGGAGCTACGAAAACTCCATTCAATTTTCTCGATGCTAGTAACTGGACTATTGTTTTCTCAACGACGAAGCTGCATAATTGGCAGATATAGCGTGGACATGTCTTCTAATGACGTGTTAGAAGCGATGTGACCCAATCAACTTTCCATCATCCTATGCGAAGAAGGCGAAATTGCCGGACATGCGCTGTTGTGCTTGTATACATCGGTAGTTTTGAAAAAAAAAAGAAACACGCCAGTTTGTTGTGTCATGAATATCGTGCTCCACATTCCACTAGCTCTTAGAACTATTGCAGCAACCTTACTCGCACAGGAATCGAGATGCTTTTTCTTGGCATCGGTGATGTCTGAGGCTGTTGCAGAATGAAAACAAATAGCAACTGGAGACAATCTTAAATGCTGAAACCTGGTTTTAGATTTGTGAGGAGGTGTTGGGCACACAAGCTTGGCTTAGAGCAACTGCTCAGTTACACCATTTACGTGTGTTGGCGGGAATCTTGTGAATTCTGTGTGTAGTTGATCCATACAGGGAGTATTCACTGGTGTCCATAGCTGTGTGCGCAACTGATGAGCGCACCTGCACAGCGACCTTTCGGAGCTCTTTTGCAACCTGCATTCCACACCATCAAAAGTGCCAGTCTTAGTAGCTTATTAATGTGAGCTCGTTCTGAGCATGGACTCAATCATGGCATCCAGTGAATCCCCTCCATAGTTGAGGGGTTACTTACATAGTGTACATGTTTTAATCATGTAGGCGACTTGAAGCGTCTGTTCAAACCTTACACAGAATATCTGATAGTAAGAAAAACAGCAATTTCTAAGACTTACTGCATGGGTACTGACATAATTTTAGGTTGTATGCATATAGCTGTCAATTGGCCACAGTCCCCTTTTACCACCTTACCACCTATGGTGCATAATTGAAACAAATCCACCTTGCCAACCATCGCAGAAGTTGTTGTTGCCTGCTCTGTCAAGTGTCCATTTGTCTGTTTCGGGGGCCTTTGCGTGGAAACGGAAAACTTAAGTCTGCCGTCCTTCTGTCATCCGGCAGATTGACTACCCGGACTGCGAGCTGCTGCGGCCTGGGCAGCGGCAGTCGTGCACTACCATGAACTTGGAGCGGCTGCTCGCCCTGGAGCCGGACGAGGTGGCCGTGGAGACCAGGCTTCCTCACCACCACCACCTGCAGGTCCGGGGGGTCCCAAAACGTTTCTCACCCATGCGTCGTCAATTGATCCCTAAGGCCGAAGTCGCACAGCTTGTATGTCTCACAAACGGCACAGTGGTCGCCATAGACACTACGACGGAATTGTCTGCGGACATGCTCGAAGCAGCTTCATACGCTTGTATGCTTCGAACATGTCTGCAGACAGTTCTTTGTACGATTAATGTGAGTAGACTACCATACAAGGAAGAAGCACACCTCAGACAGGCTGTGTTCCAAATCTTACTCAAATGGATCCAAATTACTCTGGCGGGTCGTGTCACGTGACAACACTGATTGAAAAACGCTGGACGAGGGTAGGTTTTGGAACGCCAAGGTACAAAACCCTTACCCTGGAGTACGATAGAGTAAATTTTGGAACACGGCCACAGTGTCCACAGGATGCCTTTTGTATGACATATTCGCGGTGCGACCGCAGCCTAAAAAAAACGAGCGTCCCGGTTCTAGCAAGTTGCCCGCGACACTAACAAAAGTGTGGGCACGGGAGCGCAGTTTCGCAACACCTTTCAGTTGCCCGAGCCCTCGCGTTCTGGGGAAAACACTTTCTAGGGTAAAGACTGAAAACGGTGTGATGCTACCCTACACAAGTGAAATGCTGACTTTCAACTGAAGTTGAGTCTATCGGAAGTAGCTTGAATTGTGTCTTCTACACATCTCTGTCCGCAAGCCGTTTCTACATTTACCAAAATAATACCCCATTGCACTTTCTAAAGCCCCGAACTAACACTCGTGCCGCCCCACTGTAATGCATAGAGCCATTAAGATTGGCTGCAGGGAGCTGCAGTTTCTCCAAGAGGTGTATATTTTGGCATCCATACTCTCGTGAAAATTTGAAAGCATGGCCAAATCTAAGAATCCCTCGTTCATTTCTTTTGAGTGCCAATTTTTGTCCCATAGTGTATGAACTATGGGAGATAAGACCATCCATAAGGATGGTCTTATCTCCCATAGTTCATAGAAATGGGGCAGATTCCCTCTCTATTTGGCAAGCACAGAAAGCAGTACTAAAAGCACCTTGCCACATTTGGTTGCTTACAACGAAGTAGGGGCTTTGTACTCTTCTCATGCATGGTTTAAGGAAGGGTCAGAGCTGAAAATAAATGCAGAAACCTGTCTTCTGTTTCGCCTGGTACTGAGTAAAGTACATCTAAAAAGTACCTGAAGTATAAGGTAAATGAGAGGTTATGTACGTCAAGTAAAGTAGTAATAAGTATACTGATGCAATGTACTTGGAAGTAAAATACTATACACAAACTCAACTCTCCTACGTCACGCCGCAGTGGTGGCGCGTCGGTCGCGCTTCCGGTGTGGGGCGGTGGGCAGAAGTCGCCGTGCGAGACATGCATTCTTGTGTTCTTTTCGGATAAACCAGACAAAAAACCTGCATTCTCGTCAAAATGCTGCGAGGGGGGCTGTAGCAAAAGATTCTGGAAAGGTTTGAAAATCACTTTTTATGTGTTTCTGCCCGCTCCGTTCGTCCGGGTACGTGGATAGTACCTGTGAAAAGGGTAAACCAGACGCTGTCGAACTACGATTGCTTGTGCGGGCGACACTTTGTGGTTGGCAGATGTGTTTTTGTTTTGTTTCAACATGAACGAGAGAAAACCGCCAAGTTGTCCGGGCCACCCGCGGGTTCAGTGCGTCTTCAAATTCACACGGCCGCCTGATCAATCAAACTTTCGTCTGCTCTTTCGAGCCTGCTTTTTGTCGTCTGCTCTTTCGAGCCTGCTTTTTGTCGTCTGCTCGTTTAAACAAAAGCGATCCGTAGACCAAACTTTGACCCAGTGATTGCAATAAGAAGTAATTGCAGGCGTCAAAAGACTTATGTAGGCTCGGTGTAAAGAGTAGATACAAGATGTTGACCATTGGTACCAGTGGCCATCACCGACTTGTTACGCTTGGTCTGTTCCCGCTTCCGAATTTCAGTATCGACGTCTATCATCGCCGCTACCTTCTACACTTTTGCAGCACGAGCGACGTTGCAACCGAAAATATCTAGAAGAATCTCATCGTGGTTTTGGCGTCCATTCTGCGGCGTTCACGCGAATGAATCGCCGAATGTCAAGTTATTTACGCAAAGTGTAGTGGTGTAACGAGCCTTGATAACTTCTCTCAGGCGATGAAGTGGTAAGACATTGCTATGAGGACGTAGAATAGACAATTCCAACGCGAAAAACAGTATGCAGACTTACACAGACGTCGACAACGTGACATTCCTATGGTTTGTTGACGTGGGACGCGGTGCTTCTTGCCCGCACTCATTTGTGCAAGCGTTCGAACTGTCGTCTGCTCTTTCAAACTTGTCTGCTTTTTCTTGTCAGCTCGTTCAAACGACAGCGGTCCGTAAACCAAACGTTGACCCGGTAATTGCGATAAGAACTAATTGTGCAGGCCTCAAAACACTCTTGAAGGTTGGTTGGGGTAAGTAGGCTAAGTGTTTACAGTAGATACAAGAAGATGTTGATCATGGTTACCAGTGGCCATCACTGATTTTTAATGCCCGATTCTACTTGCGGTTCTCAGTATCGACGTCCACCATCTCAGCTACGGTCCACGCTTTTGCAGCCCGAGCAACGTCGCGAGTGAAAATAGCGAGCAGAATCTCGTCATGCGAGTCGGGCTTTAGCGCCCATTCTGCGGCGTCCACGTGAAATGAATCGCTGCAAGTCACATTATTCACGCAAAGTTTTGCCTCTTTAATTTTGCTGAAGCCGCTCAAGTAGTCAGACATTGTTAGGAGGACGTAGAATCAACAATTCCAAAGAGAAAAAGAGCACGGGGACTCCCACCGACGCAGAAAACAATGCAATTCAATGGCTTGTTTATGGGCCACGGCGGGCTTCTTGCCCACCGCGCATGCGCGGCGCCGGTGGCATCCGCTAGGGGCACTCCGGTTTGTTTGTAAACATGAGTTGGTGTATATATACAATGTACTTTCAAAGTAAAGTTTAAGTACTTTTTTAACACAATATTTTATGGTGCCCTTTCATTCCCCCATGCAATGTTTTTTCTCTCTCTCTCTCTTTTGAAGTTGTATGCATTGCTTTATGAGTAACCGGGGTACATCATTTTTTTTTTTTGTGAATGGCGGCAAATATTGGATAAAGTCAAGTGGCCAAAGAGAACTTACTTTAGTCTCGCTGGTGGCTAACAAACTATTTAACACAATCAACCTATAAGGCACATATTTATATTGATATTATAGCCACCATTACTTCCCTTGGAGAAATTGTCAAATAACGTCTTGAAAAACGTGCGTTTTCACATGAGGATACCCCATTTTTTTGTTAGTGCTTGGACTCAACCTTACTGGAAAAACCAAGTACACAAGCACATTGTTCTTGAAAGGGCTTAATTTCACTGAGACTAAATTTGGGGAATGTACTCTAACTTCGAGAGTTGTACTTTCCTCGGAAAGTACAAGAAAAATACTTTGAGTAAACTACAAGTACATCCTGAGAGAATGTACTTCAAGTAAAGTACAAGTTTTCTAAACCTATTTGAAGTACAGTGGACTCCTCTTAAACGGAACTCGAAGGGACAGAAAAATTTGTTCCGTTTATCAGAAGTTTCATTAAAGCAAAGCACATAAAATGAGTGAAATATGACTTTATTTCACAAGCATGATGTCCAGCTAATGTAGCTGACTAGAAAAAAGAGGTAATGGTAGTTTGTTTTGCATTTTGTAATCGCTTTTTGACGAAGTAGGTGTGCATGCCTTGGAGGTTGCGCAGAAATTCCGCACAGCCTTCAGATTCAAAGTAGCGCTGCAAGAGAGCAACAGCCTCCCTCGCTGTGCAGTCTGGCACTGCAGCAGGACCGGGGTCATTGCATTCCACGTCATCTTCACTGGAGCTTGAGGCCTCCTCACCTTGAACTTCAGCTACCAGCTCTTCAATGCTCTCTTCACGACACGTGGTGACGTTTGCATCTAACGTTTCATAATCTTGTCGTGTGAAAGAAGTGGAAGATACCAGCTGACCGAAAAGGATGTCAGCATCAGCCGCATCAGCGTCAGCAGTATCCCCTTCCTCCTCTGGAATGACTTCTTGTCTTGCGAAGCCAGCGTGGTGAAAGCATCTTTGCACGGTTGAGACTTTAACTTGCTCCCAGGCATAGGTCAGCATGTGAAGTGCCGAAAGCAAGTTCACACTATAATCTTTCCCACTGTCTGCACAAAGAAGCATTCGGTGGAGTAGCTGGCGGCGGTAGTAGACTTTCAGGTTCTGAATAACGCCTTGGTCCATTGGCTGGATTACTGCAGTTGCGTTCGGTGGCATGAACTCAAGGATGATGGACTTAAGCCCATCCACTTCACCATGGGCGGGGCAGTTGTCTACAATAAAGACGACTTTCCTGCCCTCACGGGTAAATCTCGCAGCCAGGTTTCGAAAATCGTTTGCGTCATCCACACTTTTCTGTTTGCATAATAAGTGACGGGCAGCTCCCGGATGCCTTTACTACACACAGAGGAGTGGCGCCCACTGGATACGTTGTCCTGCTGCTTCTTTTGTCCTCGTAGTTTTCCACGCTCTGCTTTTCTTTGCTGCTTTCTTCGACTTTGCAGTACCACACCCTTGAAACAACGAGGGTTTTGCGCTTTTCCCACTACCACCAGCCTCAACTTATCACTGCCGTCCATATTGGCACCAACCAGCACTGTGATGCGCTCTTTACTCCGCTTACCCCCAGTACAAGTTTCCCCTTTGAAGGTGAGAGTCTTGGTCGGGAGCGCCTTGTAGAACAGTCCCAGCTCGTCGGCGTTGTACACATCTCGTGCTTCAAAGGTTTGCAGAATTTCCTGCAACCGCCCCTGCTGCCAGTTGCTACAAAGGTTTCTGTTGACTGCTGCACCTTCCCCAGAAATAGTCTTAAAGACTAGGCCGTGGCGCTTTTTAAAACGGCTGAGCCAACCGTCGCTCATTTTGAAGTTATCTATTCCCAACTGAGACGCAATCTCTCCAGCCTTTTCTTCGAGGATGGGGCCGCTGATCGGGAAATTAGCACTTCGCGCGCGCTTAAACCAGAGAAAAAGGACGTTCTCTATTTCCTCAAAAGGCGTCTTTCGCATCCTCCTTCGGTCGGTGGCAAAGCTTCCGCGCTTTACAGCGTCTTGAATCTTTTCTTTGTCCTTTGATATCCTTGAGAGTGTAGACTTCGGGATATCGAACTTCCTTGCGATCTCCGTCTTCGAGAGGTCACCACGATCCAGCTCTTGAAGGATCTTCATTTTCGTAGCAAGCGAGATCGCTTGGTGCGGCCGCTTTTTTACCGCTTCCATCACAACACGGCAAGCGGACACTGGTTTGCGTACTCGATGGTAAACTTGACGCGCAACAGACGAGGCGCTAACCCTAATGGCGGTAGAAAGACTGGATTGGATTGCCTTAATATAATGGCTTGGATGGATGGATGAATGGCTGTACCGTACCCTTTGTAACGAGCGGCACCTCGCGTCACCTAGCCTAACAACTTTTTTTTTTTTTTTTATAATAATATTTGTATAAATTTTGTTCTAACACAACCCCTTTCCCTTTAAAGTGTCCTCAGTCTTGGCTATTGCGTACTCCATGGTTGTGAGACTGCTGTAGCTATTTCCGATGTCCGCGGTAGCCATGGGTAGTTTCGGTTTCGGTCCCGTTTAACCGAAGTAAGCAAAAAGGGGGGTTCCGATTACCCGAAGAATTTATCATTAAATACATAGGAAACCAACCGAAACAACCTTTAGAGTTCCGTTTATCCGAATTTTCCGTTTAAGCGAGTTTCGTTTAATGGGAGTCCACTGTAGTACTTTAAAGTACAATGCACTTACCATTCTTCCCAAACGTGGTTTTGCCTCTTTCCAAACAGCAACTTCCGTTGGACTGTCAGCAGACGGCACTGCACAGGGAAGGGCTGCTCAAGTCCAACCGGAGTTCCCGCAGCAGCGACACGTCGTCTGCGTACTCCGGGTCGGACACCATGCAGTCCGTCCAGTCTTCCCTGGAGGACAACGAGGTGGACTTTACAGGGTTGGTTGAGAGCGCGGTGGACTCCGACGAGGAGGAGGACCTAGCAGAGTCTATAGATGTAAGTAGCGGTGGTCGTTGTCTTTTTTTCTTTTTTGACCGTATGTACTTAAAATATTTTTCAGCGAGAAATTACAGATGTTCAGTGAAATTTGAATTACAATAAGGACTAATAACATGGACATTTTGGAGCTTTTCTTTCTTCAAGTAAGTTCGTACAGGTTTGAAGAAGGAAAGACTCTTCCCGAAACATCTGCATTATTAGAGTTTCTATTTTTATTCAAATTTCTTTGAATGTCTTCAGTTGCACTAAGAGAGCATTTTAGAATGATGTTTGACCAAGCAATGTGTGGACTTTCAGTTTCAGTGTGAAATATCGCTGTATCAGTGAAGCATTCTGAATATCAGTGTATCATTTTTAGTATTGATGGGCATATATTGCTCAATCTAGGGAAATTAAAGCAGGCATTAGTGACTTTTGGTTGTTTTTATTTTTACTTGTTAGAATGAATTAAGTTTGCTCCCTGTTGAAGGAAGCACTTTAATATATTGAATGATCATGTGCCGTTATAAGGAAGAAACTAGAAGACATAAGAGAGTGCTTAGAGAAAATTCACATCTTTTGTTTGGTTGTTGCGGCCAACAGATCCTCGTTTGATGGATTGAAATACAGGATGATGATCCCACAATATGACGAAGGATCATTGTAAAGAAGGCACTGTGTAACAGCTTTTCGTAGCTGGTGGAATGATCCCAAAGTGGCATAAATGAACTCTCGGTTCTTCTCCGAAGCTTGCCAGATGCCCTCCGTTAGTTTGGCAGATAAATTCTGGGCTTGTGCTGTGTGCTACTAGTTGCTGTAGAAAAAAGGAAAAAAAAATTCCTCTTCTGGTTTATTTTTTTAGATATCTTCTTAATGTTTTCACGCGAAGCAAAGAGCTCCAAGTTTCTGTGGTGAACTTTGCACTGGTTTCAAACAACCTATTTGACCTGCCCTTCATGGCAGAGCTGTGCTTGAAAAGGAATGTCTCCAAATTGTGGTCCTGGAAGCTCTGTAGCTAATCTTGTTTCCCCACTTTTGTGTTGCAGAGCCTGACAGTAAGGGACACATATCACGAGTGCCTCGAGAAGGATCCGAATGATCGGACAGAAGACGACATCGAGACCCTCCTGGAATTTATGCAGCCCTTACCGGTAAGTCGTTTGCGGTGGGCTGTTGTGCCCACGAGAGTTAAGCGTACAGGGATGATAATCTCCAGAATGCTAGTTCCTAAAAGCTTTTACTTACGCTGGGCCTTAACCTCTGCCGAAAAAACGGGCTACCATTTCTGAAAATTAAAGTCTTAGTTTTACTGCAAGTTTGTTGCCTTTGTTGGTGCTCCGGTGGTGTGTACACTATTGATGCTCGAGCAACAATGTTTAATGATGGGATATCCCTGCAACAAATGCTAAGTTACTGTTCACTACCAAGTTAATACCGTTTAGCATACCACACCGAGGAGACCCATAATTTGAACCTTAGTGCCGGCACATTTAATTTTTCGGTGGCTTTTTAATATTTATTCTTGTTCGATCACACGATTTATTGGTCTGCATGTTTCGACTATCGATTTTGCTCGCATATAATCCGTATCAAAATTAATAGAAAATCGAAGAATGCAAAGTAGGGGTTTGGGTTATACACTAATTTTGGCGGGCAATGTGGCTTTACGGCAGTGTGCTTGAAGTCGTAGGGATAGATTCCCCAGAGTGCCTATTCTTCAGTCTCTCCTGGGGACTTTCGTCTCCCCACCTTCTCTTTTTTTCGGGTAGCCATTTTTGCTTTGTCGTTGCGCGGGCTCCAAGACATGAATCACCACTCTTTGCCCACCGTCTTCGTACATATTTGTTGCTGAAAGATTCAAAACTGAGCGGCAAGCCGGAGCTATGACCGCTACGACGTCAACTAGTCATGTCTACAAGAATAGAGGAAGAATGAGAATCTGCTAACTGCACGTTGCAACCGATGATCACTCCGCCGATTCGAAGACTAGTGCATACTCCGAGCTTGAAAAAGCGCTCACAAAGTTCACCGAGGAGAGAAGAGGTCGAGGTCGCACCGTTTTTACGAAGATCCGGTGTTATTGCAAATTTTCTGGATGTGACTGCACAAAACTCTTGCATTGGCAATTGCCTTGATGACATGGATGGCAACGCTATCAGTGAAGGTGCCAGCGATGGGTGTATTCAAAATAGAGGTATGGTTTCAAGCGATATCTGGACATTACTTTGAGTGGCTATTGCGGGTAATATGCAAGGAATTTTTTCTTTGTTCTTGAGAGTAGCAAGTTGGGGGCGCGGGTTATATGCAGGGGCGGGAGATATGCGCGAAATACGGTATTCCCCTCTTTAGAGACCATGAAAAGAATGGAAATCACCCGTCACAAATGCTGATTAGGATGTAAATCATGCAAGGCGGCTTGTTTTCATGTTTTCTCAGTTTTGTGTTACTGTAGGCTCTGACGACAAGTAAATACGTAGTGTGTGGTGCATCTCTATCCCTGAAGAGTCTCCTTTTTGACTCTAGTGTGGTGCATCTCTGAAGTGTCTCCTTTTTTATTCTTCGGTTGATGGCAAACAGGCGTTTGCCAACATGACCCTCTCGGTGCGGAGAGAGCTGTGTGCGGTGATGGTGTTTGCTGTGGTGGAGAAGGCCGGCACAGTGGTGATGAACGACGGCGAGGAGCTGGACTCGTGGTCAGTGATCGTCAACGGTCAGGTGGAGGTGGAGCTTCCCGACGGAACAGTTCGGGAGCTCGCCATGGGAGACAGGTGTGTGCTGGGCGGCGAAATGCCTTTTTTGCTTGGAATCCTCGATGCTGCTATGTGACCTTCAATCTAACTCTTTATATTCAATCGTAAAAGGAGTCTGCAGAAGATATTTGTTTTGTAAGCAAAGTATGGGGGGGGGGGGGGGGGGGGGGGTGATCTACTCCCAGTAGCACAGTTCATGTCCCTTCTGCCATAATATGTGTGAAAGTGGGAGTAGATTTTGTTGTTGAGAGTTTGGCTGCCTGAGAATGCTTATTATTACTTGCAGTTTATATTATGCGTTAAAATGTTGCTGCGGTGCCTCTTGAGTAGTTCCAGAATGCGGGAGTGTTGTATGAACGGCGGTCATGTCGACGGGAGAGAACGGTTCCCCGGGAACCAACTCGTTTAGTGTCTAGTTTGGAAGTGGCTAGTAGTTTTCATCTCTAACTTAGAAACCTCAGACTATAGGTTTCTGTAGTGTGTAGGTTTGAAGGGACTAGTAGTTTTTGTCTTTAACTTGGAAAACTGAACAGGTCCCCACGTTATGTTACTTTGTATCGTTTACAACTCAGTTTTCAGATCAAGCATAGTGAACATGGGTTAAAGGACACATGCAAAGGAAAAAAACTTTTTTTTTTAAACAGGCTAGATGGAAAAAGAGTATTATAAAACGAATTTACAACGAAGAAAAAAATGTAGAGCTATATTTACAGCGCAAAGCGAATTTGTAGTTAGCGCCCGCGGGAGCCACCGCTGGTAACGTGGTAGGCCTGTGCGCCGCCGCTGCAAAGTCACGCCGCCGCCGCATGCTGAGCGTTGTGTGACGCCACTTCAATGCGTTTCTCCACGCCGCCTTCGCTGCCGCCGCACATGTTTGTCTGCTCCGGGCACCGCCGCCAACATCTGACCAGTGCACAGGTCTATCACATCTGCTTAAGCTTTTTCAGGAGTTTCTTTTCGGCTCTAAAAGCTATTTATTAATCTTAGCTTTTTGTTATACTTCAAATAAAGATGAATAAGTTACTTTTAGAGGTCATAGGAAGCTTCCGAAAGAGTACAAGCACTAGTTGCCAAAGTGTACCAGTCACGTAATAAATAAGGGCCACCTTTCCTCGGCGTCTGCGGGCGTCATCTGCAAATTCATATAGCACCCAAATATAGCTCAAATTTTTTTTTTCTTAGTTGTAGAATTGTTTTATGACATGCTTTTTCCATCTAAGGTGTTTGAAAAAAACGTTTTTTTTCCTTTGCTTTCTCAAAGGCCGACGACCAGACTCGAGATTCTGCAAGGCAGAAGCTCCTCCTCACCATGGGGGAGGAGGAAACATGCAACGGTGGACAGAATAGAGGGGGGAGAGGAGGAAGCGGGGGAAAAGTGGAAAGCGCGGACTGGTCGTCGGCCTTTAAGCACTGGCCCACACTGACCGGGTCTGCTGCCTACGTCGTTTCAGTGTCCATCTTTCATGATTTGCCGCGCAAAAACACAAGAAACATAATCAACCAGCACACTCTTTTGATCCTTTCTTTGTCAAGATGAGCCCCAGTTTTCTTCATCAGTTTTCCTGTAACAACGTCTTCTTTTCCTTACAGAGTGGTTTGTCCTAAGCATATTTGGCTGTGTTTGCTGTGAACTAATTTCCTTCTAGGGAACTTCTTTAACCAGTCTTTCACTCTGGCCGTTTTCCGTGACACGCATTTGACAGGTCGCTTTTGCCGTTTCCTCTATCCTTAGTTTCGGCATCACACCCACAACGGAGAAGATGCACCACCAGGGCACGATGCGGACAAAGCTGGACGACTGCCAGTTCGTCTGCATCGCCCAGGGGGACTACTACCGCATCTTGCATCGCAGCGAAGAGAACACATGCAAGCACGAGGAGGACGGGCGTGTCGTCCTGGTCACCGAGCACCGGACTGTCGACTCCGGCAGCCGGGAGGGTCACATTGTCATACGGGTCAGCGGCCGATTTCCTTCCTCTCGTTCCTATTTCTGACTCGCTGTAAACTTCGCTCATCAGGTTGCTTCAATGTAAAGGGGACGTCCTTGCTTTGTTGTGCTCAGCCCTGTCAAGGCTATGAAAGCCCAGGCTTGTACTCCGTGGTTAGAGTGCGCCTCTCTCATAGCCTGGCTCCACTAGCCGTAACAAGCACAGATTCTCAAAGATTACTTGGTGACCCAAGCAATTTTTTGCAGTAGTGCCTATTCTCAGACACATTCATTTGTTATGAGTTAAATCGTGCTCAAGTGTATTAAAGGTTGTTGACATGGTGTATCTGACATATCTCTGGCCTGTGCTTGTTGTTTGTAGCTCCAAGGGGCTCACTCGAACTGCAGTAGAAGGTTTGAGAACTGCATTGATGTTTTTGGGAATTAACAAGTCTATTTGCTTTGTAAAGTTGCCTAACTTTTCTGGAACAAAAGCAGGCAGTGCAGGTGTGATTTACTATGCAAACTTGCCTCGACCATTGCTATTCTTTGTTCCAGGGTAACTTAGCAAAGAGAAAACGCTACGTCTCCTCCTTGAGCCCGTCGGGGGGAAGGAGCAAAACGCTTGACAGCTATTCACGGGAATGCACTCTAGCACTACATCGTCGTGTGCCTCACCGCTACTCTTTGATTGGCTCGCTGGGGTCGTAGCTTTTGCCATTTGCTAAGTTCTAAGACGGAGTAAAGCACACTTCACTTTTTTAGCGGAGGAGTTGGCACAAGTGGGCTGCATCTGCACTGCATTTCATGGGAATCACAAGCTCGGGAATTTCTGTTAGTTTCAAATGCTCTTTTCATTCAGCAGCTGCCGATGTCTTCATATTTTGCAGGGGACACCGGAACGCCTGCTTTCGCAGTTGTTTGAGGAGAATGCCCTGGATCCTGGTTACATTGAGGACTTCCTACTCACCTATCGCACATTCATTCCAAGCTCACACGTGGTCTGCACCAAACTGCTTTCCTGGTTCAAGGATCCAGCATTACGGGATAAGGTAGGCATCGAAACAACTTTTCTTTTTATTTTTCTCCCAGTTTGTCTTTCACTGCTGAGAGGCGGAGCACGTGGCGCAAAAGCTCACGCTGCAGAACCTAGGGATCCTGGCTTCAATCCCCACCCTTGCCCATTTCGATCTGGACTACCATTGCGTGGTGCACGTTAAAGACTCCAGGCTAGCGGTTGTACTGCACTGGCTAAATTTCTCATCTACAGCTGAGACACCAGACACCCATTGAGGCTCACTACCTTCCGGTTCTCTAAACAAACATACGGTAAAATTCTGAGCAAGTGCCCACTCAAAATTTTGAGATAATAATCTAAAATTAATTGGTGTGTGTGTTTGTTTATACAGCCTAGAACTTAGTCTGCCTCAATGGGCGATTTGTATCCCAGCTGTAGATGAGAAATTTAGCCAGTGCAGTACAACCACTAGCCTGGGATCTTTAATGTGCATCACGCCGTAATGATACATGACCGTACCTCAGTCGTGTATCCCTTGGGGATGGTGCTTATTAGGTAAACAATATGTAAAGATATGTCCCTTCTATATTTTCCAAACGTTACCAAATAGAAGGGTGGGCACTTATTGTGGAATGGGCGAATGCTAGGTATTTTACGGTACAACAAAGCTATGTGCATTTAGAAGGGTCTCGCTTGTTAGCGGTGACATTGAGAACCAATGAACTGAATTGATGTGATGATTGTCTGGTTCTATATTTAGTTGTCTGGTTTTCCCACTGAAGGGTCTTGTGCAAGATTTTCTCCTGCACTCTTAAATAAAGGTCAAATTTGTTCTGTAAATGTTTAGACTCTGAGAAGCTAGTCTGCCTAGAAATGTGCGGATTTTTCTTTACCTTGAGAGACAATTCTTAGTGCAGTGTACCCACCTGTACTGGTAAAAAATAATTAAATAAGTTATTTGAATCATCGTGCAAGAACAGGAGAGTGTTCAGCACGATCACCCTCGCTTAGGAAAGTAATAATTTAAGCAGAAATATAGCGTGCCTAGGTTAGGCCATTATTTAGTTTCTGAGAATTCGTTTTGTTTCCCTGGAATGCAGGTCACAAGGGTCGTCCTCCTCTGGGTGAACAATCACTTCACCGACTTTGAAACAGACTCCGAGATGATGGAGTTTCTGGAGCAGTTCGAACAATGCCTCGAGGCTCAGGCAAGCTTCGTTTGTTTTACCTTCCACATTTTTTTCTTCTCACAAGAAAGGAACGAAGACTGGTCGACGTCCCCTCACTTTTGTCGTTTGTCTTCTTGAAAACTCGCAGAAGATGCACGCTCAGCTGCGGTTGCTGAACATTGCCTGTGCCACGAAGGCGAGGACGCGGGTGGTCACTCTTGCGCGGTCTTCGCGGGACGACCTCCTTCCGTTCTCGATCCTCGGCGGTTACGAGACCGGCAACGCCATCTTTGTGGCCAAGGTCGACAAAGCAAACTCCAAGGCAGAAGATGGCTGGCTCAAGCGAGGCGACGAGGTTCGTGAGCTCAATCCAGTCCCCACGTGATCTCTCTGTCGCTGCAGTGTTCTGCAGTTACGAGTAGACTACTCTGTACCCGACATAGTGCCATTTTGAGCCGACTTTTGATGTGTGCATCTCAATGTAACTGTAGTGTGCATGCATTCTAGGAAGTTACAGTGGTACTTTATTTGAGTTAAGGCTTCACTATAACTATTATTCTTCCAAGTATGTGTTTAGATTCTGTCTGCGTGCATAATATACCCTACCATAACTACGGACGTAACCACTTGACTGATCACCGGAGGTTTCTGCTCCTGCTACTGCTGAATCTTCTATCAAATTTTATTGCACTTATATTTCTGTTTTGTAAAAGCATGCTGTAGAAAGTAGAGGTACTCGGGAAGGCTGTGTTGAAAATTTATTCATACCCTACTTTGGAAGTGCGATCAATGCTGGATAGAGATTTCCCCCAAATTACCATAACTTTTTTCGGAGCACGAAGTCCACTATTACTAGTAGTTTCTTCTTTTGATCACTTTGGCACATTTTAAGCTAACACCAGGCTAATGTTGCTTCTCTCAAAACATCAGTATCTATACTTTTTTTTTTCTCTTCTAGATCTTGGAAGTGAATGGCCAAAGCTTTGCAACCATGTCGCACACTCAAGCCCTGGAGATTCTCAGGAAAGCAACGCATCTTTGCATCACTGTCAGGTCAAACCTTCTTGGTGAGTCCCACTGCCTGCTTCCTAAGATGCGGAGGGCCAAAGCTACTCTAGTTTCCTACCAGTAGTAAAATTAACGTTTCTCTTTTAAAATCTCTGCCCTAATTACCAATATGACTTTAGCTGCACTTAATGACTGACCTTCTGAAAACCTTTTAGGGCTTTAATGGGTCTCAAGTTTTCTTGCTTTTCTCGAAGCCCCACTGCCTAGATGTGTGGCAAATGATTCTTTATTGAATCTTCTTTATTTTTTTCTTACTGACTCAGCTATTTCACATAAAATTTATTGAAATCCATTTATTTTTTCCAGCTTAAACAATGGAAGCAACTCCTCTTTTTTCTAGCTTGTTGCTTGATTGATTGTGTCACCTGAGCTGTTGCTCTAAATAAGTTAACCACACCAAGCTGAATTCGACGTTTCTGTTTATACAGCGTGAGGCTAGCCTGCCTGTGAGGTGTGGCGAAGCTGGTTTAATGCCGTAGATGAGAAATTTGGCCAGTGCAGTACCGCTGCTAGCCTGGGATCTTTAACGTGCATCATGCAGTAGTAATACACGACCGTACACTATAGTTAACCTTCTTGGAAGTGTATCTAGTAGTTACAGGTTCTCACAAGAAGTAATTTGAGTTATGTTCTATTGCTCCTAAAATATCCCACGACATCTGACCAACGCTTCAGTTTGCAGTGCTGAAAAGATGGCACAATTCCATTTTGATTCACACTCTGCTTCGAATATTAACGGTAATTAAATTAAGTTACACATTACTTCAGACGCGTAAGTTGCTGAAATTTTGTCGCAAAACTTGGAAAGCACCTAAGTAAGCAAAATTCTGATTACTAATTACAGCAACCCGTGTGCTTTTAGTTTTTTTTAGGGGTGTGCGAATACCGAATAGTAGCTTTCGAATCGAATACCGAATCGAATCAAGAAAAAAAAACCGAATATCGAATCGAATATCGAATAGTGATTTTATTCGTAGGAATTTTTCAAAGTGTGCTGCGAATGCAATTATTATATGTGCAGAGTATGCGCCTGGTGCAGAATATACGTCTTGTACCAAACAAAAGCCAAAATGTAAAAAAGTTCCGGTGAAAAAAAAAAAAGCAGTTGCTGTTGAACGTTGGGCACTAAATATCCAATTTTATGGTGCAAACATAATCTATCTACCCTAAACGTCACAAAAAAAAATGTTACAGCCACGCGTGCCTTTTTTTCTCTTTAAAAACACAACCGAACACCGCAACTTTTTTTTTTTTAATATTTGTATATTTCAGAAAAGGGGCATTTTGCGATAGTTGGTCTCCATTTTAAGGGGAAAAAAATGGCACCTGGGATTTGATTTTACATAAATAAATAGACAGGTGTTAAATCTGAGCAAACAGCAACGAGGTAAACTGGCTTAAACAATATAATCTAAAGTAAGAAAAAAAAACGTGGTTAGGTAGCGCAAGTCACCGTCCAACTGCCGCTACGCATCCATCTTTCCGTTTATCTATCCTGTTTTAGAGAGCCTTGATTTGAAAGAGGGAGCAACCGAAACTGAAACCACAGAGACGGCTCCATCGCAGATTGATCGTGAATGCGCATGTGTTTTGTTGTCGCGTGGAAAGAAGGCGAACAAACAGAAGAGCGACGACGCCTGCCCTGCCTGCCCGAACCCGACCGACGCTTTCGTCTTTTCGGTGCCTTCTCGCAGTTCGTAATTCAAACGCGGCTATCGAGCTGTTGGAAACCCTCTCAAATCTAGGCACACTATTTTTCCGTTCCGTTTCTTCCGCGCCAAGCCTAATTCTTTTCACGAGTAAAGCCCCTCGTTTCAAATTGAAGCGCCGATGTAAAACACACTTGCCGCACTCGCAGAAATCGGCTACTGCACCACTGCACAATCACAGAAAGAAAACCAACGTTACCACGTCGGCAAAACCAACCGAGTTGTCGTTCTGATTCGGAATCAGAATTTGCGGTTCCAAAAGAACGACGACGAAAACTCGGTTGGTTTCGCCGGCGTGGTAACGTTGGTTTTCTTTCTGTGATCGTGCAGTGGTGCTGTAGACTCTGCGAGTGCGGCAAGTGTGTTTTACATCGGCGCTTCAATTTGAAACGAGGAGTTTTACTTGTGAAAAGAATTAGGCTTGGCGCGGAATTCCGGCAAGCGGGATGCTTCAGTTGTGATTCAAGGGTAGATTGTGTCATGATCGTGAGTAAACCTTCGTGCTATAAAGTTTGCGGCGTTCGTTACTCTTCTGTTTTCTAACCTGTGCGTTAGATTTTTGTGGAATGGTCGGACCAAGAGGTGTTTCTCGCATGGTCTGTCTAACATCACGGCGCTTACATCGGGAGAAAAAACTGCTTTTTTGTTTGCTCCGCGCCCACCGCGCGTCTTCGGCCGAATATATAGAATATTCGAGTAACCGAATACTAGGAATTCGATTCGCGAATCGAATTATTCGGGAAGTTTCTATTCGATTCGAATTCGTATATTCGAGTATTCGCACACCCCTAGTTTTTTTCTCTTAATCTTCTGTTCCCGCCGCAGAGTTCAAAGAGATGTTGAACAACCCGGAGAAGGCGATGCGTCCCCGGGGCCGCAAGAGCTCGGAGTTCTCGCGTCTCCAGCCGGACTCTCGCCTTCGGCTGTCCTCGCACCTGGAGTGGGGGGACGTGGTTGGACTCCCCCTGGGTGTCGGAGGACTCCCCCTAGGGGTCGGCTGGAGCCCTCATCCGGGCACCGCACCCGCCGGAGCGTCACCCGCAATCGGAACGGGCACGACCGCCGCACACGCGCCGGGCGCGGTGACGACGGCGGTTGTGGTCACCGGGAACGGAGACTTGGCCAAGGAGGACAAGAAGGGCTTCATGACGCTGGGGCACCGTGCCAAGCTGAAGAAGGCTCTGGCCAAGATGAACATCATCCCCAAGACGCTGAACAGGTGAGGCCTTTCAAACGCTGCAGCTCGCAAGCCAGTTCAATGACAAATGCACTCCACAGCAGAGTTGGCGTGAACGTACCATTGACGCTTTTTCACATTTACTAGAGCAATGTGTTGACAAGCACAGTATTTTACCTTTTAGGGTTGAGCCTCAAATGAGCACTGTCTGGCACCCGAGCAGTGTTGATGACAGCTGTTCAATTCTAGGAGTAAAACTGGTAAAAACTTGCAATAACTTGTTCAGTGTCGTGTTGCATGCACTGCTACATACAGTTAGTGCAAACATGTCGTTGGTGCTGTTTTGCATTGTTTTTACGGTGAAGACTGAATTTTAGTGCTCAGGTGTCTGCCCGAAATGAGTGCATTTCGCCATGCTCTTCGTTTTGATAAAAACTATGAGAATGGCTCTTTTTCGTGTGTTACTCCTCTGGCACTTCCCCATACTAACTGTTGTGCTCTGTACATCTATTGTTTGTATGGGCTTGACTAGACGCCCAAGCTTTAGTGCCTTGAGGCGGCTCTAGTTCGTATACGGACGGACCTCAAGCTTTGGTCTCTGTCGGAAGTAGGGACACCGTTCAGCTTTTTGGTGCCGTTACAGCGGTCTAGATTCAGGTGCTCGAGTGCCCACTGAAGCTAGCAATATGTTGCGAGGAAAATAAATTGCTGCACAAAAGACACAGATGCAAGACGAAGGAATACACAGTCGCAGCGCTGTCCCTGTGTCTTTATCTACTTGTCCCTATGTCTTTCTTGCTCCGTTTGATATTTCTCACAACGTGTACTGACTCGCCCATCTACGGACATTCCTTTAGTCGGTGACAGGAAGAGAACAGCAGAGCGCCTCTCTCGGATGCTTGGCCTCTAGCGTGTGCTTGTTGCCCTCGGCCCTTGCTTTGGCTGCACATGCACGCTCGTGGTTCACGAGGCGCTGTCGCCAAAGCTAATGGATCACTTTGGAGGCGGGACAATCGAAACACTTCCCTGGCATTCTCATCTTGTTCGGTGACTATAGCAATATCTTTTGCTTCTTCCCTTTTTAAAACACACTTTTCGTAGAGCATTTTGAGAGTGTGTTAGTTTTGACTGTATTCGTTTTCCTGTGTTGTGCACATTTTTTTGGTTGCCCTATATTTGATTGAACACGGCAAGTCAGTTGAGATCTAGTGCTCTGTAGCAATACGAAACCGTGTGTGCAACGCCAAGTTTCTCCGCCTTCTCTGCCTTCCTCCGCAGTGAGTCACAGCTGAACAGCTCGGACGACAGCCTGTACTCGACGCACAGCGGCTCCAGCGTGGGCTCGGGGGGCGGCGTGCGGGTGGGCCGCAGCGGGTCGTCTCCCGCGCATGGGGTGGGTAACGGGGGCCAGCTCTACCACAGCCACAGTAACCCAGACCTGAGCTCGCTCCTCGTGACCCACTGCGGCGATGCCGAAGGACCCACCCGGGACTTCCCCGAGCACGTGCTCAAGGTGTACAAGTCGGACCAAACCTGCAAGTACCTGCTCGTGCACAGGGTGAGCCAGCACTCCATCTCGGACTTTTGAAGGAGACTCGCCTTCTTGCATGCATTTGAGACGCATAGCATTCATAGGGCTGGCTCTCGGGGTTTACGTGCCCGTGGATGTAGCCTCGACGACGTTATGAAATCGCGCAACACTGTGACATCATACCAAAGGTGCTCTAAATGCATAGCATCTATGTGCCAAGAAAGTGAGGGGAAGGACGAGACGAGAGCACACAGTGAGGTCAGAACGCCGAGTTGTGGTTGGAACTACTAGTGGCTGGACCTAAAGCTAGCAGGCTTGGTCTCCATTCCACTCGTCAAACGCTTCAGAACGCGGCACTCCAGCGTCCAGCGTTTGGCTTTTGCATTTGAACGCGGATGAGTGCAGCGGAGGCAAAGGCAGCCTTTCCCTTCGCTGCACTCGTCGAACACTTTAAAATGTAGAACACAGGCGTCTGGCGTTTGACTCTCATATTCGAATATGTTCGACGAGTACAGTGGAGCCAAAGGCAGCTTGCTTTAGGTCTGCCCACTAATCGTTCGAATCAAAACTCAACGTTCTGACAGCCCCGTGCTCTTGTCACCTCCGCTCCCTCACTTTCTCAGTGCATAGGCCTTTTGCGATTTCACATAATATCATGAAGTCGCATGATGTTGCATGACGCTGTGGTGTTGAATCACGTGACATGACATCATGCTACACCGTGACGTTGGGAGACATCGTGAAGTGGCATCGTGATGTCATGTGATGATGACGGCTTTACGTATTCGGAAACCCTTGAAATGGTGGCCCTCGGCCAGCTTTTTATTGCATCCACAAGATGAGGAGCATGAAGAAACACTATAATTGCTATGCATAGAAAATGTCTTAAAAAAATGAATACGAGACGGGCAATTTTTTTTTTCTAAATACACTTTTTCTGTATTGCTCTTGCATGTTTTTAATGACCTTGTCTTATTTTATTGTTGTACAGGAGACAACAGCTCGAGAAGTTGTGATGCTGGCCCTTCGGGAGTTTGGTATCAGCGACTCTAGCAGGTATGTAGCTGTGTGGTATAACATTGCCAGAAGCAAGCACAATAGGTGCTTGTTTCTTGTCTTTGCATTTTTTAAAAACATTTTTCTGCAAATGGTTTTATTTTTTAGCTCCTAGTTTTGAGTGCGAGTTCTTTTTTCAGCAATAAAATTAAACTATCCTTCTAAAATGGCCTGTAAAATTAAATTGGTCTTTATTGGTACCTGTACTATTCTTATATGTTTTTTTTTGTTTTTTTAATATTCCTTTACACTGGAAGTATGTGGTTCTATTTGTCTCTCCAATTCTCCTAGGGTGAATTTTTGATATGTCTAAAGTGTATGGTTATATACTAGAGGGGGGAAAAAAATTGGGCTTAAACCAAACTAGTACCTAAAGACATTCCAGGGGTAGAAATACAGGGTAAACCCACAGGAAATATCTCTTATGACATGTATGGGCATCACTCTGTTTTGAGCCCACATTTCTTCAGTCCTTCATTTCTGCTTGCTCACTGTTACCGTTTTCACCACAGCCTGTACTCCCTCTGTGAGGTGTCTGTCGGCGAGGGAGGCCTGATCAAGCAACGCCGTCTGCCCGAACAAATGCAGCACCTGGCGGAGAAGATTGGCCTCAACAGCCGATATTACCTCAAGAACAACTCCTCCACCGACCCCTTAGTACCTGACGACCTGGCTTCCGTACGTTTGCCTCTTCTACGTGCCGCAGCCGTTTTGGGCGGATATTCCGGCTTCAAGAAAACACAGTGTAGTGTAGTCGTGCGTGGACAAATTATATACGAGCCGCCCTGCGCAGATAGCACTTTGATCATCCACATCTGCAATGTTCTTAAATAAATGTATCCAATCTGCATCTGCAAACTTTCCTGAATGGGCATACAGTTCAAAGCACTCATCATAATCCAGGTAGTCTATGAAAGTCTGAAGTATATTCTAGTTTCAAGCAGGTTCCACAGTGTCGAGATTAAAACAGGTCAAAAGACACTGACCAATCTAGTTTGTACGTCCTTGGGGTCGGGAGGAATTCGAGCCACTTCGGTGGCACCAAGACAAAGCGCCGGCCTACGGTTCCCAGGTAGCAGGTTCGAACCCCGGTTGAGGTGCCCGCAATATAACGGAGGCTTACTGCAGAGAAGGCACCATGCAACCGAGATTTCGGTTGCACGTCAAAACGTCCCTAGGTGGTCGAAATTAATGCTCAGTCCTTCGCTGGGGCATGACCTCCAAAGGCTTGTAGCCGCTTTTCATACGAATGTTTGTGTTTCCGGCGAATGCAGGAGCTTCTGCGGGAGAGCCAGGTCAACTTCCTGCAGTTGAACAGTGTGGAGGTTGCAACCCAGCTGACCCTGGAGGACTTCAGCATTTTCCGCCAGATTGAGCCCACCGAATACATAGACGACCTGTTCGAGGTCAAGTCTGCCTACGGCTCCCCGATGCTCTCTCTCTTTGCCGAGGTGAGCCCTTTGTCTTGTTCCTTGCGGCGTGTGAAGGGACCATAAGACAGCTGGAGGCAATGAACCAGATGGCTGTTCTCTCTCTTGTGCAATTTCTCTCATCAGGAAGACAATAGGTTTTCCTTGGGGTGCCTCAGGGTCCTGAGGTGTCTGTTAACCACAGCTGTTTTTTTACCTTTTTTTCTTTTTTTGTTACTTCTGAGGCTTGCAGCACCTTGGTGTTCGAATAGTCAGAATAAGCAGATTATCTATTACCAAGAGTCTGTTTTCTAAATTGTTTATTACAAGCTGGTAAAGGGGGGGACGCCTGTTTCATGCTTTATATTGCTGTGTGCATGGCCGAGAGTAACGCCTCTTCATACTTCGAGATTTATTCGTGTTTACTCTTGCCCCGAGTGATTGACATTCAAACATTCTAGACCGAGTGTTTGAAATACCAGGCGTAATAGAGGCCAACATGACATTGCCGAATCAGTCTCGCCGTAGCGCCATTGTATACGCTCCGGTGGGGAGCAGAGGAACGCCAGCTGTAGTGCCCCACTCGGCTACTAGGGAGCGAATGCCAAAAGGGACCAACTCTTGCACAGTGGACATATCAGCCATAGAAGAAAGCGGCGGTTTTGTTATATCTAGGCTATTTATCGCGTGAAAACTGTTTTTAATATCATAGGTAAGCACTCTAAAAGCATTTGCTTCACTTGTTGTGGTCTGAGCGAGCGAAGAAATCTTATTTTGCGCCCAAATCACCTTACAATAGCAGACGACAGAGCGGGCTCTGTGGTGAGTAGGTGGCACTTCTGCGGTTCTGCCACCAACTTTTTGTGCAGTTTCTTCAGTTAGCCAGGGAACTGATCTTTGTGAAAACGAACATTGTGTTAATTCAGTTATTCAGGCTGTTTCATCAATTATCGAAATAATATAACTTACCTCGCACAGCCGAGTACTAGAGGTGAGAGTGAAGCCCTTTCTACTCTACATTGTGGTGACACCCACGAAAGTCGTTGTTTGCGGCGTTTCTTGCCCTCTGTGGTACGCAAAAGCTGTTTTCCAGCCTCATGCCGGTGATTACACCCGAAAGTGCAGCATCCTGGCACCTAAATCCCTTTCAAACGCTCGAGATGTTACAAAAGCTGTGATTGCCGATACCACGCCAATGTTCCTGCTGCGAAGACTCAAACCTTTTGCAAAAGCGCGTGAAATTTTTTCCACCTGATCGCCGTGAGGCAACCAGGAGCGCGGATTGTCGACGAACTCGAACATCAATCAGTGGCGCTACTCTGCTCCCTACGGGAGCATATACAGTGGCATCATTTCGTCCTGGCTTAAACGTTCTAGACCGAATGTTTGAGATTCTGAGTGCACTACATAAGGAGCCCAGCATGGCCTTGCCGACTCACTCTTGCGTTAGCCAGTTGCCATGCCGACGCCTCGACACTCGCTGCTGCCGCCTTCAATGCTTTCTCGATGCTCGTTCGTGACAATATTGATGTGGGCTTTTTATTCTAAATTCTGGTTAGTAGGATTGAAGAAATCATTTCATAATCTTTTTAAACAATAATTTGTGTTGACTTGGATCGCAGCATCTTGTTCAAAGCCATGTCTGCTAATATTTTGGGTCTCCATCTTACAGCTTGTGAACAGGGAGATGTTCTGGGTTGTTTCGGAAATCTGCGGAGAGTCTAATCCCATTCGGCGGATGAAGACTGTGAAGCAGTTTGTCAAGGTCGCAAGTGAGTGGCCCTGTTCTCTCGTTGTACGTTTCGAGTTCTTTGTGGGATTGAACACCTGGAACAAGCTGTGTGAAAATGGCCATTCGAGGTATTCTATATAATGCCCTTTGATGAGCTGCAAGACATCAAGTAAAAGGGGGATTTTTTGTGTGAAAATGCTCGAGTAAGAACCTTCACTCGGTTTGAATCTAAGGAAGAATTCTTGGCATCATCAATCTGTGGGGACTGTTTGCAGAAGGCATATATGAAACCTAATTTGTATTAGGGCAAAAAAAAAAAAAGAAAAAAAGGATAGGTCTGAGAAGTTGTTTTTTTAGTTTGCAGAGATGACTATAATTTGTGGTGCCAGCTTCCACAAACCTAATTGTTTACAAATCATCTGGATCAGTTGCACAATATGTTGCACAATATGTGTTGAGTTACGTTCCGCGTGGAATTTAATGTTCTTACGTAAATATTCAATAAAAAACATGCAATCTGCTCAGTCCTGCGTTTAGTTACAACGCAGCATTTCGAAGAAACCGAAGGGCTTGTAAATTCAAAGGCAAACCGATCCACTTATAGTTGAGTCCGTGAAGCATGCAGCTGATTTTCGTGTTTTCTGTAGAAAGAGGTTGTGTCCCAACACTTTCATTGTTGCGTATGCTTGGGTTGTGTGTGACCGACAATCTTCTTCTCATCCCGAAGGACAATGCAAGGAATGCAAAAACTTCAACTCCATGTTTGCGATCCTGAGCGGTCTGGGCCATGGAGCCGTGTCCAGGCTCAGGTCCACCTGGGACAAGCTTCCGACCAAATATCAGAAGATGTTCGAGGTGAGTGGCCGGCATTTGCTCGTTTTCTTGACGTTATGAAGTGGGACACTACCCAGAAAAAAAAGAATAGCTGCAAAAAAAGTTGACTTTGGAAAATGTATCTATATTTGCCAACATCTAGAGAGTAATCCCAGAAAGTTTTATTTGTTTACACTGCATGGTCATTTTTTTATAAATTATTTTCAGTCCACCGATGCTAAAGAAAATATAGAGGTTTGAACACGTTTTTCTCCATTTCACTTTTTGGCATAAAATTTGCTCAATAAATCTTTTGTTAAAGTATGAATCTCTTGAGAGACAATTTTTGCAGCTTCTTTACCGAAATTTTATGGAGCCGGTTAGTATTGACTTAGATTTTGCATTTTCATGTTCCTTTATTATGATAAATTGTAATGTTTAAAACCCGAGACTGTGGTGATAAAAAAATGTTAAACTTTGAAGGTGAAGTAAAAAGGCACCGGAGAACACGTCTAAAAAAATTTGAGACGTCTTCACCTGTGCCTTTTTTCTTCAACTTGAATGTTTCCTACATTTCCCTCACCACAGTCTCAGATTTTAAACATCATGATTAACTATCACCAGCTTGCCTGCACTTTCACTGTTTGTTCATGAAAAATTTTAATTTTCAAAACTTAGTCAAATAAATAAAAAAAAAAAAAGTTTTTTCATTATTTTTTTAAGCTAAAAAAATGAACTTTCACAGCTTCATTCAGCAGATTCCATGCCAAGCTATGCTTTACTTTGTTGAGGGGATATAGTACCTCATAAAACTGGTTCACAGGGTTGAAACTTTGCATGCCCTCCTTCTATATGGCTACAAACACCATATTATACCTTACTTCATTTACGTCAACACTGCTGTCTTCTTGTATGGGGGACCACAATAAAAACAAATACAGAAACCCTGCACATATTCCAGGGGGGTGGCACGATGGCATCCCTTAACACAGGATGTTAGCGGCTCGGATTCTCAAAGGAAGTGTGAGGAAACACCACGGAAACCATTGCAAAACGCGTAAAGCATACTTCAGAGGACAATCTGTACAAGCAAGTGATAAATTAAGAAGAAAGCGAAATTCTAAACATGCCCCAAGAGGATTCAAATCAAAGACCCTGTGATTGTGAGCTCGTCATTCTACCACTGTGCTGATCAGTGGATAGATAGCAAGCTAAATGGTTTTGTTTAAACAGTATATGGGAAGAAATAAAATATCCAAGAAGTGCCCACCATCACATAAAAAAAAGACAGAGTTTGGAATAAAATAAAATGTTAGAAATAGGAGATAGAAAAAAACTGTGATGGCCACTACAAGTTCCAAAGAGTGCCGCAGAAACACATTCTGTGTATACCGGTTCTTATCTGTAAGACCAAGATAAATCAAGAAATCTTTATACTTCCCTCGCAACACTGACCTTTATTTCTTTATTTCCTGTGCTAGGATCTACAAGAATTAATGGATCCTTCGCGGAACATGTGTAAATACAGGAATCTCATCAACAGTGAGCAGATGAGGCCACCCATTGTAAGTTGCTGCAGCGTGTTTCTCGACGGCTGAAATGGCTGTTACTGCCTCCTGGTGTCCGGTTTTTGATGCAGTCTTTCTTGTCCTCTACAGATTCCCTTCTACCCCATCGTCAAGAAAGACCTCACATTCATTCATTTTGGAAACGACACCATTGTGGACAATCTGGTCAGTTGGTGAATCTAGAGTCCTATCTGCCTGCTTCGAGCGAAAAACGAGCACATTTCTGCCCTTCTTCTTTCTTACGTTTAGTGGCTTGCAAATGTTTGATTTCCTGTAATATTTTCGTCACTTCCAGGTCAACTTTGAGAAGCTCAGGATGATTGCCAAGGAAGTTCGCCAACTCATGAACATGTGTTCAGTTCCTTACGTAAGTGGTCTTTATTTTGTTGCCAGTTATGATGAAACTAGCGTGGCTTGTTCTGGGTCCCCACTCGGAATCTCGCAGCTACAATCACAATCGGCCAGGCTGAGTTTCCAAAATAAATTCCACAGTGGCCTACCATGACACTTGATAGTTTTATGTGAGCCCATAGGGAAAAGATGTTTTATTCATAATTTTTGTTTATTTGGGTGAACTCACTTCTGCATTGTTCTACAAAACAAATGTGTGCCATCTACTTTCATATCTATGTGAAATTAGATTGCACTCTGCTGCAAAAACCAATTAATGCTATCTCTTTAACTCTTTCATGGTCAATTTTTTTTAGATATTTTTTTGTGGTTGGGTTTTGCTTTCAAAGAAATCACGTAAAGAGGGGTTAATGCACAGGGTTTTTTCTTACTTATCTAGCGAGAGACCATACAGTGCTTGCAAGCTGTTCAGCTTTAGAAGTATCAAATGTAAATATTGAAGTCAGAAAGAGGTCACCTTTCTTTCATTTGGTTTCATTTTAGCGCGTCCCGTCCGCTTCCGCGACATTCCGGCAGGTTCAGATTCCAAACGAACGGTACTTTACAGAGCTTCTCCATCAGATGGTAAACTCTTATCCTTCGAATTGAATTCTGAGAAGCGTTAAAAGTCTAAATTGGAAGATCCGGCGCTTCTATTGCCACTTCCGCCAGAGCAGCCAACACATGAATCGAAAATCTCATGCGTGTCACTTGCGTAACTATAAATAGCCCAAGAAAAGCTATACATGGTGCATATATAACATTTATAGTTTGCAAAAGACAAAACAAATAGCAACACCTCCCGCGGTGCATACGGTTTTGCATTTAGGCGGGTACTTTCAAATGTGCAATCGCAGTCATTCATTTACAGCGACAACAGTCAAACAGTTAAAGGGCCAGCATGGCATCGGGTCCCCCTTCTGTAGTTTTGTCGACGCAGTGGTTCGGTCTCCTCCAGCGCTTGTGACGCGGCACTTTCTGCAGGACCTCTACACCATGCTGGAGGCTGGAGGCAGCCCGCTGAATCCCGCGCTGGCGTCGCTGAACAGCTTTGCGGCTGCGGCCGTGGCTGGTACGGGGGCGAGCGCCATGCTGGCGCGCAGGCGCAAGCGCAGCACCGCCCAGCCGAGCCCCAAGAAGATGTTTGAGGAGGCCCAGATGGTGCGCAGGGTCAAGGCGTACCTGGCACACCTGCGCGTGGTCACCGACGAGACGCGTCTGCTCACCATGTCCATGGAGTGCGAGCCACACCCCGTTCCTCCAGGTTGGTGCACGTCATTTGGCGAATCTGCTTTGGTTGTGCAAAACCCTTAGATAGACCTAGCCCCACACTTTTAAATGCATAGCATTTATAGCATTTCTGCGTCTGAGCCTGGAGTCGATAGAGCGTGCAGTTGCTGATTGCATGCTTTTCATGCAATCAGCGACTACTCTTACGGTGGGGGCTTTCCTAAGTGTGCGCTCGGTGGCAGCAAAGCACACTGCATATATACTATGAAGGCTCCTGCTTGTACTACTACCAAAGCTGCCCGTAAGCGTCAACAGCGGGTGCGGAAGGTGAATAGGGTGGAGGAAGGGACGTGGCTGCTAAACAAGAGCGACGAGCCCAGCAGCGACGCAAAGCCATTTCACAGAGAACCAGTTTGGTGCAGCGTGTAATGTCTTCGATAGACTGTGGTTTTGGGAGGATGTGAGCAAAGGCGTTCTCAAAAATGCCTTCGTAAGATGCCGAAGGGACAGCCAATTTTTTCTTCTTGCAGGATTCATTGCATTCAGTGAAACGCGAGAGTCATTTGCTGCAAATTCCCATATGTTCACTATGGCTTGCAAACCTTGGGGACTAGCAGCTTTGGCTAATCAGATTTTTCGGTTCACATTTTAATATTGGGCTGCCGTTTTAAAACATTTAGTTGCCTGCCATCATATGGTGTGAATGTCATGAAGTGAATTGAGCTCACAAGGGGCTGCACCTAAAGTCGTTTTGTCGTCTCTTTAATCGTCTCTTTAATTAATGTCAAGGTATGCTCAAGATAGGTTTGTTCTCGCTTCTGTATGAACATTCATATTTCTATTTCTGCAGCGATCCCGGTGGTAGTGCCGACCAATGTGCACCCTCAGCGCAAGCGGAATCCTTCTCCACGCAAGCGGCACCCATCGCCTACATTGTCCACAGCAAGCAGCAACAGCAGCACCTCCGAAGGGAAAAAGTCCATCAACTCCGCAGGCGGCGTCAAGTTTGGTGCGTTCCTTTTTCGTCTGTTTTTGGCGTCTTGATGAGCTGCATCAGTCTGAGATCTGTTTGGGTATGAAAGTAATAGACTAGATGACAGCATACGGATTACGGGGATCGGCGGTTTTGGTGCAAACTTACAACATAGACGCGCTTACAATTGCAGCTGTATCTAAGTCCACTCCAGGAAAAAAAGAAAAAAATGTACCTAATATAGAAATTAAGTTTATTGAACAAAAGAAGAGAAAATATCTAAAAAAAAAAGAAGAGGCATTTTGTCACCAAAGCTATAAATGTTAATCTCTCATTAAAAGTAGTGATGTTACAATTGATTAAGCTTCAATGTAATGAAATCACAAACGGTTTCATGAATGAATCTAGTTTAGAGATGCTGCAAACTTTTAGCAAACCTAAAGTTTGAAGATCGAACCCAGGCGTTCGAAAGGCTCGGAAATATTTTTCGAAATGTCAAACTTGTTACATAAAAAATTCGACGATTTTCAAACTTCTGAATTTTGACACTAGGAAATTCAATTGTTTTCAAACTCCTGATTTTTCGCACTATGAAAATCTAAAATTTTCGAAATTTCAACCTTATTACACTAAAAAATTTGCCGATTTTCAAACTTGCTAAGTTCAAAAGTTTGATGAACTTCGAATTTCTGAACAAAGATTCAACGAAATTCAAATGTAGTTGAACTCTCTAAATAACAAGGTATCAATGTGTGAAGTGGAGTAAAAATTACACTGGAGTTTTATTGAGCTGATCGTGCCTCAAAGGACTCACTTTTAAAGCGCTGAATGATCACGTTGGGTTGGCCTCGGCTTCGCACCTTTTTCTTTCAGCTTCCGCACGGAGCCTCTCCCACGCACAACTCCGTAGGTTGCCCCGGGGTAAACTGTGGGCCAACAGATCCCTGCAGGCTTGAAATTGAACCGAGACGCTTCTCTGGAACGTCCTTCAAAGCCACGCGCGATGCGGATGCGCTAGAGGAAATGCTGGATCGGCGCTTACGTCATTATCATTAGTAGTTGGCTGCATTTTAGAGCAGCCAATGTCTCCATTCATCGAAAAATAAAAGTTCCTGACAGTGAAATATGGTTAGCCCAGTGACAACCAGTCGTGGCTGATCAGCTGTATTTTCGGGGGCTGGGGATCCCTTAATTTAGTCTGGTTGCGTTCCCCTCAACCTTGAGTTGTGTCGGGTGCTGTGCCTGTGTCCACAGTTTTGTGCATCCCACAAGTTGTCTTGCTAAAAGTGAACGCCCAGAGTAACTAAAAATTTTTGGGAAGCCTGGATGCCTTTATGTACATGTGTTATCCTGTTTATTTGGTTGTCTTATGTTAGCATTGCATTTAGGCGACGTTTAATCTGATTGCTACTAATTTTCAATGAAGTAGGAAGTACTTTCACCTGACAGCCTCGGGGCCTTTCGATGAACCGTTCAATTAGTTCAACACTCATCTCATAAGTTACGAGAAATAACAAGTACCGTAATACAGGGGGTACCATTGGTACCACAGCACGGAGTAGGAAGGGGTATAGTCACGACATAAGAGAAATGGGCAATGCTTTTAGTAAAATTTGTAGCTCATTTCGCAATTTTTTTAGATGAATTCATGAAAACTTGGTTTGAAACTGCGGAATTTGATCTCAGTCCGTGAAATTCAGACTTCAAATCAGAACTTTCAAACTTGTCCCTTGAAATCTTTGAATTTTCAAACATAAATCTTGAAGAAATCGAAATGTCTGAATTTTTCTAACTTGATTTGTAAAAAATTCAGAATCTTTGAACTTGAAGTTTCAGAAACAACATTTTCGAATTATTCGAATTCAAACCTTAGTGGGGTTCTAAAGTTGCGAAGCGTTTCACTTTCGAACCTTAGCGAGGTTCAAGGTTTTCAAAACCTTTCAAACTCAAACTTCGGGAGGTTCGCGGCATCCCTAATCTAGTTACAGTGACTACTCACAAAAAGTAACAGAGTTATGTACCAAATACTTCTCAGACATCCCACTACTGACCGACAAATATCAGTTTCCAACCCAGGAAAGAGATTGGCACAACTCTGTTTCCATTCCACACTTGGGGCTCGTGGCAGAGGTTGAGGCAGCAGCAATGAACTGATGACAAGACTAAGTCATTGGGAATTTGTGTATTTGTCGACATAATTCCAGGCAGTGAGTAAATCGGCTAAGCTACAAGTTTGTAAAATATGTGTAAATAGAATTCCGCCGTAAATTTCCAAAAGGATCGAAGTTACTGAAACAACCTAATTGGATCCACTTGAATAGTACTTCCAATCACTTACTAATCTTGCACGAATAGGTAGTACTGCTTATAATCAAATATTGCAGTGTCTTTATTCCAAAGAGGGCCACTATATAGTGGTTTTTCCTTGCATCGTAAAGCCCGTAAATGACGCGGCGCTATTCAATTCGAAGTGCACTTTGCTTGGGCCTACAGTGCTGACAGCTTAAATATCGTGGGACATGGCAAGTCCCGAGCACCTTACCATCGCTTCGCAATCATTGAGATTGCAGCATTAACCTACAAGAACACCGAAGAATGAGTTGCAAAGCAAGCAGAAACATAATAAGCTATGTCTCGCATTCCTTAGGCTGCCAGTGATTACTTTAGTAACTTTACAGCCCTGCAGTGTGAAGGCTGTAAATCCTGTGGTACTATTTTATTAAAACCACTATTTGTATTCGGCGTAGACTATTTTGTGCTACGTCGTCGGGGCCACCGTAGCCTCGGCGGTGCTCCAACTACGTCAAAGCTAGCCGCACGTGGGAACGAGGCGCAGGATGAAGCCACGTGCTCTCGCCGCAGTGTGGGGCACTGCGGAAGGTATGCCAGCCTCGTCAGTGCAGCGCGGAATGGACGATGGCGAGCGTAGCAGTCGGTTCACCGCTTCGTCTGCCACCGGCGTGTGCTGACGTGTCGTGCGGCCCTTGGACGCAGGTACAGACTCCCCCCAGGCGATGCGGAAGCTGCTTGCCCTGTCTGACCAGAGCAAGGTGCGGCCCCACCAGCCGCCCCGGCCCCCCGCGTCTCCGTCCCCCGGGATCAAGCGGAGGGGCTCCACCACCCGGGAGCTGCCGTCCCAGGCCACGGCGGTGGCCGGCGCCACCTGCCACGGCCGGTCCCACTCGGACACCGGCTACGTCCAGCCCGTGGACTTGTCCGCCGAGAGCTCGAGCGTGACCAGCCTCAACAACCTGCCCCTGCGCAAGTCCCACGTGTCCGGTGAGGAATCTCGTCTTCCATAATTTCTTTGCTGAGTGAAAAAAACTCAGGGTGTCTACTAATCTGGAATTGTTGGGGAACTTCGAAGCGTCTGTAAAAATCGGGGAAATATTCAGAAAATTGGTTAAAGGGACCATGAAATGAGTTTTCAACTTCTTCTTCAGCTTTCCTCCTTAATTCAATAGAAAAATGAAAAATCATGTCGTGATATAGTATTTCGCCAAATGTGACGACTCCAAGATTCCACCATGTTTTTTAAGCACACCACGGAGTTTGTCATTCGTGAGCGATGGTAAGTGCCATCATGGCACTCGTTGGCCATAAAAACAAATTCAGATATTCGTCAACGAATTGATTGTTGACGAACGTGTATGTCCGAGTGACGCAGTGCTTTTGTCCAATGCGTGAGCTGAAGTCGGCCGACGTGCTTTGGGTACCACACATGTATTATAGTGAAAAGGCTGATTGTTTTCGAAGGAAAGGAGATACGAAATAGTCCGATGTATTTTCAAAGTTTTGTACCGAAAAACCGGCTTTTGATTTTTTACCCTCTTCATTTTGGCCCGCTAAACAATATGTGATTAGTAAAATCCCAATCTGAAGTCATTTATCCCATCCCTAAATTCATTTCATGGCCCTCAGGGGAAGTCACCAATGTGGGCGCGGCGCTGTGACACGCGACGGTGTGGTAGGGTACGGCATGGAGTAGCACGGAGGGCTTTCACGCCAAGTAACATTTGCTCGAGGCATCGCTGGGCAGCGTAAGCCACCGCTCGATTCGCCGAAATAAACGGGATAGCTCGAACACCTGCTGCAACCCTATCCTCTGCATTTTCGTCTTGAAATGGTTGGGGAATTTAATAGAAATATTCGAGAAAAGCCAGAAGAGTCTGGGAATTTGAGAAAAGCGATTTGGTAGACACCCTGACAAATAATTAAAGTCCTCCTTTGTTCTACTGTGCATTGGAGACAGACGTGCAAGTCTGGGCAGTGTGGCGGTGGGACTTCACGACGTTAAGTCTCGTGTCGCGTGTTTTGGACGTTGCACAACATGGTCGCATGACATGACGTCGCACAAAGTCTTGACAGTCGGCATCCACCATTACTAGATCTAATAACATTGACACCGTGTTGTCACGTTGCACCACGGTGTGAGAACGTGATTTCATATGACCTGGCATCATGGCCTGGTGCATGTCCCATGGTCACATGACCCATGGTATAATCTTGCTAAATTTAGCTGACAACGCCACTTCCATGCTGCTTCCATTGGCACAGTCCGTCTCTGGCGACGGCAACACGACAGTTTTTCCAATTCCAACTTCACTTCTGTTGAAATGCATTCTGTTAGATCTGGTGGTGCTTAGCTTTTGGCACCTTGGTTTTACCAAGGTCATGCTTATTCTTTTTTTCTCTGCTTCTTATATGAAATGTGGGGAGGCAATCAATGCAGTCGGGATGATGTCAGAGCGCCAAGATCTTTATGGCCGATTGAAAAAAATAGTGGGTAGACTTCAAGGCATCTAGCATTGAGGTTTACCAACTATCTTTCCAATCGGAGCCAATCGGAGCTCGGCGTAATTCTGACATCACCCCAACTCCACAAAAAACAAACGGCTTACTCTCCACATAATAAACATTTTCTAAATTTCGTGTTATTTTTTTTGTCAGATCTTTAAAAAAAATTCTGTCCCTAGCACATTTTTGCGTATGTGAGCCAAAGATTGATGTTAATATGTTTGGTGCCAGAGGCTGTACTGGGTTTGCCTGTGGGCAGTTTGCTTATTGGCAGGCTGCAAGTAGGCAATCTGCCACACATAAAGTGGCAGATGTAGTCAACTCTTGTCGTGCGAACAATTTAATATCTGTTAAAGTCGAGTCATGAAGTGGAAATGTCCCATCCTTTTCTTGACGTAGCATGTTCGGTGACCTCTGCGGATAGCGGCGTCGGAAGCTACCATTCCTCTCACGACAGTGACTCCAGCCGTTGTTCCATCGGCTACGACAGTCCCCAGCAGCGACGTCCCTCAGGTTAGCTCATTTCGAGATTCTGCACCCTTCCTACTAACTCCACGTAACCGAGCCTGTTTACCAGGGATTGTAACAAACAACTTCTTCCTGTCTCGATACTCTCTTAGTAACCCAGCCTTGAGCTCGCCTACTTTGAATAAGATTTTTTTGCCTGCCATTACTTACAAACTGACAGCTCTCACTGTACTCAAGGGCAACTTTCTGCGGCATTTCCAAAGAGAGGAGTGCACATGCACAGCTCTATACCCTGTTTCACCTTACATCGAACTGCAGCAAATACTACAAGCCATGGGAGTCAATCTAATGACGTGTGAGTGCGACCTTTGGAAGGTGCGCAGTGGTGCGCGGGACACATAGTTCTGTCATGTGTTCACAGTGCTGGATTGATTGGGATGGCTCGTAGCGTCGACTGCGATCTATTGGAAGCTGAAACGAAGTATGGTTGGCCCTCGAAAGTTTCCCCCGGGAATAAGCAAACCAACGAAAATGGCACATTAGTGCTTCTTTGAGACCCTTATTCAATCTGTGTATAGCCGAATTCCCTCATAGCTTTCGAATTTTGATCGACCAGTATTCCCTTCACCACTGCTGCCTCCATCTCGTGGAGGTATCATCGTAGCTTAAGTCGTCAATATAAACTTTCCAAAGGGTCTAGCATTTCTCCGAGAGCCTCTCTTTCCCTTTTTTACAATCTAACAAAGACAGTGATGGAAAAAAGAAAAGCCCTTGCATCCGTTCTATCTGACAATCCCCGTTCCTTCCGTCTCCGACTTCCTGCACTAGGCGGCGCCGCACCCCCGTCTCCTCCCTCTTCGAGAAGCCGCAAGAGCACGCCTCCTTTCCCTCACGCTGTCCCTGTCTTGCCGCCCCTTGCACCTGGGCAACTTCAAGGTAGGACGTTGCAGCCAGTCACTCGGCTTGATTTTGTTGGACTCGCGCGTGATTCGTTAGAAGACTAAGCACTAGGCGTACGTCATCTGATTTGTTTTGAGGCGTTGCCCAGTCGTCCTATGGTCTGACAATTTTGCCAAGTCGTCGCTGTGTTTTCCGTACCTTAAAGCTAAACATTGCAGACAGAAAGCTCTGCAGAGTCTAAGTTCGAAGGGATTTGGCCTACAAGGTGACGCCGTCTAGCCGCAGAAGCGGATGGGGTGAATCTACTTTCTGCCGCATCGCTCGGATATGACTGTAAATGACAGTTTGTATCAAGCAGACGTTGACATGGAAGCAGACGTGTGCTTTTGTTGTCACGTCCGCTTGTAATCGACAGTGGCGCCATGTGAAAGAGGGAGAGGAAAACAGGAGCAGTTCATCTGCTGCTGCAGTTCGAAATGTCGATACAGTCTTTACTAGACTGGGACGGCCTTTCTGGTTAGTTTTATCAGCTAGATTTTCTACCATTATTTTTGCAGCTATTCTGTCAGTTTCTTGACTAACTGGAGCCTGGGCAGATCGAATACAGAATTCCTCATAATTTTGTTGTTACTTTTGTTTGTAATGTTTTTTTTGTTTTGTTTTGTTTTTTATCTCTTCCGGTCTAGTTATCCTTGTGACACAAAGGTCATAGCGGTAAATTATTCTCATTTCTGCATCGCTTGGCTCTGCTTCTGGCTTGCTTCCTGCGGGGTCGCTTTTGGCTCTTGTCTCTCGCTGGGGAAGAATGCATCTTTCACGTTTTTTTTTTGGGAACTTTCTGTGGTGGTCTACAGCAAGCCTAACGTCTTGTTAGGTTGTTGGTGCATGGTTTTTGGAAAGTTATGGCCCTGATGATGTTCTCTGGCACCTTTGCACTGTGTTTTCTCCACAATGTTTTTCTGTGACGTTTCATGTAAGAAATGATTGTGGCAGTGATTACCATTTCTACTCGCACATGAGTTATGTCCAAGTCAACATCTATAAACCTGCTGTGTGTATGGTTCATTGTTTTTGTAGTGTAATTACATCTCAGTTTTCAAGGTGGATATCCTACTACTACATGCTGGTGCTCATGCACTGATTTACATTTGTCCCAAGTTGGCAAATTAATTTTTTTCCTTTGTTGACTGTTATTCTGGACTAAGATCCTGGTCATGCCAGATAATCTGTCCAAGTAAGTTGTTACTGCCAGGCCAGCTGCCTTACAGTAGCAACCAGTCAAGAGTAAACTTAGCATTTGCTCAAGCTAAGTATGTTTTAGATTGTATGTGATGTAATGAAGCATAAGTGCAGTAATTTTCTGAGCATCTGTTTACATTTGTTTTGCATTTTAACATCTCTTCAGAATGCTGTATGACATCTTGGAATAACACATCCCTTCTTCATACAAGTGCTTTCGTGAGCCCTTATATAATGCGTGATTCCCAGAAGTGTTAATGTAACCTTGCCTGCCCGTTAAAAGATGTGCATCCATGCAGAACCCCAAATTCAAACTATAATAGATATCTACATTCCTTTCTATTCTTAGTCTGAGATTTCTTTCTACCTTACACTCGCAGTGGTGCAGTTAGTTAGCAGAAACACTTGATTGCCTACCGCTTAAGTGCACCTTTAACCCGTAGAAAAAGTTTTGGTCAATGTTTATAGATATATGGATATATCTTTGTATCCATTGCTGGTAAGGCGTTTGGCTTTCGAAATTCATTGTTGAAACAAGTTGGCGTGATAAACCGGCTATTTTTTCTCCAACGTAAATCTATTTTTATCGGTATTCAATCTCTGACGTGTAAATTGGTTAAAGAATAATATGAATCGTCAAGTGGTAGTGCACAAAACCATGCGAACGTCGGGCAGTAAGAACATTCGAAACGTTCCTTTAGTTGCACAAGTATTTCTGATCACTCTCCCTGAGAAAGGTAGTGGTGCACCAGGATATCAGGAATGCAAGAATCTATAAAAAAAATGGTGTATCATAAACTTGATTGCATACATTGGTAAACACCGAAAAACAGGATAAAACCAAGACACCTAGTTTTTGCTCATCCTAGAGTCACTCAAAAGTCATGCTCAGAGTACTCTCAATCTTTTCCTCTTTGTCCGACAGTGTCACAATGGTCATTCGTCCATCCACGTTGCATGACATCTGTTTTTCTACCAGCGATTCGTAGATGCAATTCCAAAAATGCGACCTTTTCAGTCTTGAAAACGGTATGAGGAGACTGGCGATACTACCGTCATGGCTAATTGCGGCCTGCTGCGAGTTGGTAAAAAAGCTGGTGACAACTGGCACTGCTCACCTTTCCCAACATGACCGAAGAGACGTTACTCTGAGGCGCGCCTTATTGAATGGCTCTAGCTCGCCCTTTGCAGCGAATTTACGTCTGGTGCGTAGAGGGGGGTCACTGAGGCGTCTGCCGTCGTTGGCGGTGCCGTCGCGCAGGGCCCATGTCTCCCTCTTGCGTGCTGATGCCCCCCCCTCCCCCGCGAGAGCCCCCCCCATGCCCCAAGGGGGGGGCCGCCGCGGCCCCCCCTCCGCCGAGGAGGCCCCCAGACTACAGCGTGGCTGCACAGATGGCACGAAGCCGGCAGGCGCTCCGGCTGGCCAGGGCGCACTCCCACGAGGGGGTCTACGCCGGCGGAGTGGAAGCGCCCCTCCTGGCAGCGGACCATCCGGAGGGAGAGGAGGAGGAGGAGGAAGAGGAAGAGGGTAGGTCGTCCGACAGCAGATTTAGGGGTCCTCCCGACGAGCCCTGAGTTTTATGGTGTTTTGGGGGGACAGACTGATTTGTTTAGTTGTTTGTTTGTTGAACGAACGAACGGTCTTCGTTGCAAACTCCAAATATTTCTACGAGTTAGTCGGAAGGCTCAGAAGAACAGCTGACGTCCTGCTGGAAAACATGGCTTCCAAGAGGAGGTTCTTCAAAATCTGCTGTAGGAAATGTTTCTACGATGAAATTAGGTTCCTTTTGACTTGCATTCAACTACTGATGCCTGGAGACGTTTTGTGTGGCAGTAGGTTTGTTGTGGGTGGGTTCCTGCTGTAATTGGCAGTGCCAACGACTGATTTACTTTTTGTTTCCGGAAAACTTCAGCTGTAGTTGTGGCTTATCCAAAACCATCACAGTTACAATTAGAGGGGGTGTCCTCTATCGTTTTGTTTCCCTCACAGCATACGGTGACCAGGGGCTCCAGGTTTGACACTCAGTGAGAAAGGCGGCGAAACCACCAACCGCCGTGATTGGCCAGTGCTGGGCTCGACTTTGGCGCCAGCCAGTCGCAGTGCAATGCTGGCCGGTCGCGTCAGGCGGCGATATTGACGAGTTTTATAACGAGCGTCCAACTTGGAGGTTGAGAATTGCTATTGGTGCAAGCAATGATATGTGGCTTTGTGTGTTTTTAAGTTTAAGTTGAAAGGAAAGCACTACTGGTAGCACTTCCAGAGTTTTCGGCTCTGGAAGTGCTAGTCCAAAGTTGCTACTTTAGAGTAACTTGTGTGAGCCTTGTTAGTGCTGTCGTGGTATTTGCAACATGCTTAGCCTGCAGCCATTTTTGAAGGAAACCGTCGAGACACCTCTGTGTGCCGCAACAGTTTGAACAAATTGTTCCATTGTTACAAACATATGTGTCTCCATTTTTGAGTTTGCAAGTGTTTCTTGAAGGTTGTGTTGTGCCCTTTAATGCAAGCTGGACGTCTCTCTTTGTTAATTTTAATATTGCTGATGAATATTTTCTTGTGGTTTTCTGGCAAGTAAAACTCATGTTTTCCCTTTTGTTGCATGTTCTGTGGTTTTCTGGTGATGTGCTTCTAACTTGTGGTACTTTTTAAGAGTTCTCTCTGTTTTTCCTGGGTGTCAATTCTGTGTGCATGCATTTTGTGCATACTGCTTTTCTGTTTCTGTGTGTTTGCTCTGCTGGATGTTTCTCGGTCTTATGCTTGTCGCATGAGCTTTGCGCCACCGCTGCTGCCACCTGCGATGTTTCTGTGCTTGCAATGCTGGCCTTGTGCCCAACCTCGGTCTTTTTTTTTTTCGTCGTCGGACATCCTGCTTGATCTTGAGGTGTCACTCCGATGTTTTAATAATTTATTAGACTGCCCCTGAAATTTTTCTTGAAGCAGAAAGTACTGTTTAAAGGAAGAAACCATGCTTGGAAAAGTTATCTAATTTGTTTTCTTCAACTATCTGATAATTTGAGTGCACGAAATTTCGTAAACCTTATGGCATAGAGGTTGTTATTGGGTGGCTTTTAGGATGCAGCCTGTTTAGTCTGGCTTATCTATTTTCATGAATATAAGATGATTGCATACTTGATGAACCCCGGACTTCTACTGTGATGGTAATTTAGAACAATGCATAATTTCATTTAAAAAAAAAAAGATTTTATGATAATTTTCAGTACTTGATTATTCTTTTGCTGGGACACAAACTACCGTAATACACCAAGAGATAACCCACCTAGAATTGAAAGCATATTAAGCAAAGAAAATAAGGTAGGGCTAACGTTTGGTCTGCGACAAAAAAGAGTTAAAAAGTTAATGTAGCCAGCTCAAGAAGGGAAGGTATTCTAAAGAATGTGGAAGTTTCTTAATAGTAAATAATTTTAGAGTGCAGCTTTAAGGCACCTGTTTACGGCTTGAGCGTCGGCGTAACTGCGCGTTGCATTATGGCACGTTTCTCATAATGACGTCGCAAAGGTCACGACCTTCACGAGTCATGTCACGAGGGTCACGAGTGACATCGCGATAAAGGAGGGGGATGTGGAGGAGGGGGGCATATCCTCCTCTCCATATGTTCCACTCCTCCCCCTCAAGAGCTGCACTCTAATTCGGCAATACAAGAAATTGTAAACGTCTTTCATTCTTCGGATCCTGAAATTTCTACCATGTTCAATTATTTGGCATCTTTGTGGGACCGTGTAGAATTAATGTATGCAGTGCATTCCTCTTACAGCGATAATGGGAAAACCCGAAAGTGCAATCGTTATAAGCGATTATCGTTGTATCTGGGCTAGAAACTGATGGTTTCTAGTTTAGAAACTCTGGAGACTGATCGTTGGAAGCGGTTACATCGTTATGTGTGGTATCATTATAAGTGGATTGCACTGTACTACAAGCACCTGAAATTTTGGATGCCATTCATTCTATTACTCGATTTTTCAAACTTGGTTTGCTAGGTTTGCGCCCAGAAAACCGCCGCCATGAACTGAGTCTGCCAGTTTTGGTTTTGACTCGATACCATGTACTACATTAGAAAAACCGGATTGAGGCTATCTCGGATGTTAAGATGATGTTATAGCCGTTGTCCACTGCTATACAGCCAAAGCACGACTGCTGTTTTGTTTGTGTCTGAATGCTCGTTGTCTTTGTCGACGGGCCTAGTAGTGAAATTATATTGGTTGACTGAACGTGCATTGCGTGATCAATTTTATTGTACATAGCCAATCTTTTCCTTAAAAATCGAAGCGTTAAATAAGCCGTCGAAATGTCAGTAACGTGTTATTCTGTGACCAAACCCCCCCCAGCTGTCGAAGTTTTTGCTAGACGTCGAACTGTGTTGACACCAAGAGTAAACCTGCAGAAACCGTGAAGGACGCACTTCGTCTTTTTCCTGTCTTTGCAGACGAGGACGAAACGCAAGTCTCTGCCGTCTGATCTCTAGCGGAACAAGTTTGTCGTCTCCAAGGACTGCCACACCCGGGGGCACGGGTCACTAGTCTATTGTACGAGGTTGATCGGCACGCCGTCAAGGAAGTTGTGTGTGTATATGTGTGTGTGTACGTATGCAAAGACACTGTAGTTTTGTACAGTGGGGAGCTAACCTCCCTCTCTTGTTTCTTGTTTTTTTTTTCAGTCTCCCCTTCCATTTCTTCTCGCACACCGAGTGTGTAAAAAGGGGAGAGAGAAGAGCATGCCCACACAAAAACCAAAGATCTAGTGATGTGTACAAAAAAAAAAAAGACAGTTTACAAATGTAATTATTTGCTGCACCCATTTATGCATATGAGTACTATATAGATACTATGACAATGTTGAGCGAACCGACAACGCTTCCACTCTACACACATAAATGCCGCTCCGACGACAGACCACCATCGCACCCCTCATTTTTTATGTTCGCCCACGTGTCCCCTCGGCTGTGTGGGTGTACGAGCTTTGTACATAGGGGTGGCTTGTTTGTGTACCAAAGGCATGTTTTTATTCTTTTTTTTTGTAAGCCTTTCTCAGCTGTGCTGGGATTTGTCTTTGTCACGCACAATCTTCCAAAGGTACACAATTAGTTTCATCTTTTTTTCTTCTCCCAAGAGTGTGCATGTTTTCTTTGGGGCAGAGCCAGAAAACTCTAGCTTCAGTAAAAAGCTGTGCATGTACCAGATTTCTACGTATATAGAGAAAATAATATAAAGCACACATGCCCATTTCTGAACGTGTTTTTATCTTCTGCTTTGCATGTGTCCTTTTTTTAGACTTAAAAAATGTCTATCTTTATTACAAAGAAAAAAGAAGTAACCAAACTGGCAAGTTTTAGTTTCACCGTAGTTTCTTCTCAGAAAGTTCACTTTTAGCCTGGTTTCGGCCTCGGTGGCATTATTTGTGTCGTCCAAGGAAGCCTGGATCCAAGTCCGCTCTTGCACTCGAAAAGGAGCTCGGAACAATTTCCCAATCAGTATTATTTTTACATCAAAGCACCGTTATTTAGTGAAGCTGTCCAACTAAATTCTGCATTTAGGAGCACAATAGCGTGATTGTAACCCACTGTGGTCTGTCTCGAGTTGTCCAGCAGAGTGCTTTTTGTCTACTTAAGTTTCAAGTTGTGTGGCTAGCGAAGAAAGAAGTGTCCGGTATGTCAAGCGGTGTCAGCGTGCGATCGCCGTGGTTGACGTCTGGTGATGTGCGGGGGATGTGTTTTTGTGTTGAGGTTGGCCACATGTGTAGAAAAAAAGTCCCGTCGACTCGAAGGAAGCACTCCACTACGTCTAGTTTCTTGCCCGAGTGTCCTGTGGCGAAGTCTCTTTTGTAACATCACCTTTCCGAGATATTTTTGTACTGCCAGACAAAGTCGTGCTGTGAAAGAGAGGGGTCGAGGAAAGATCTGTTTGTATAGTGGTCATATCAGAGAACTGTAAATAAGACAAATCCATAATAAATATGGAAACATTCACCGTGCTTGTCTTTGTTGCTTAGCGACTGCTGTGTGCAGTTTTTTGTTTTCTTGCTCCCAAGTTCATCTTTTCTTGGTGGAAACAACTTGGCTTGGATTTGTGGAAGAAGCCGAATCTGTGGACTCTATTAAAATTGCCCTAAAGAGGTTCCAAGTGTCTTTCTATGTTAATAATTTGATCTGTGTTCTCTAAGTATGTTAAAAAAATCCGAAGTTCTATATTAAAGACATGATTCAACATTTATAAAGCACCTATAGTTGGCGACAGGTTGAGAGTTTAAGGAAATTTCATCTCGCCTTTTTCCACTTAAAGGGGCCTTGCAATGACTTTTGGACTGGTTTTTAATTTGCACCGAAACTGAGCGCAGTAACTTAGTGAAACTTTTCTTTTTCTCGAGTCTCCCTCTATTTTAAAAGTTAGAGGCAAATCAAAATTACAAAAACAAGCAAAAAAAATTACCTCCTTCATGACGTCCTTGGTTCTGGCTTGGGTGGCCGTCAACTAGAGGAAAGGTAGTGAGCTAAGCGAGCACTCGCGGTTTTCGCACTTCGTGTCGACGGATGAATGGATGAAGCGGGCTGCCAGGGCGGCTCGCATTGCATTTGCTGTGCGACTAAAGACTAATTCGGCATGACACTTCGTTGCCCACAAACGACAGCAACCACGGGGTAAAGATCAGTTCAGAACGGGAGCCACTTCGCGCTGCCAAACCGCCAAACGGCCAACCCGCAAGCCTAACCTGCTCGCCGAAGGCCTTGGGAATGCTTGGAACCGGCCGGGTCCTCGAGCCTAGTGCCACTAAATAAGCTATGCTTCAGAGTAACGACACTTGGCCATATTGGGGCTTGAAATCATATTTGCCGGTTATCTGAAGCTTTATGTGAGATCACAAGAAACAGTTTTCTGTCCTCCACAAATGTTTAAACAGTTCGCTACAGAGCAAAGTGGTTGCCAACTTGTTTTCAAAGTGTGCTTCTTGCAAGAGTGCACTCTTCAATACACGTTTGCAAGTCCGGTCTCAGGGTGCCGCCATCTTCCTCAGTGGGGTGCGCTCTTGGGCGCGGCCGTAATCCGATTACGACGCCTTAGCAAGGCTTTGTAATCGGATTATGACTCGACCAAGCGCTCCCAAGCCAAGCAAGATGGCAGCACCCTGAAGCCGGACTTGCTACCGATTGAGTACCGAATGTTTTTTAATGAGGTGACAATTTCCCAGCCCTAGCTCTCTATCACTAAAATTGATATCGCTGTGCAGAGCAATCTTCACAAAAAAAAAAAGAAAAAAAAAAAACTCCCAGGGCATTTGACAAGACGCTTCATACAAGTGCTGTAAAATTTTACCAACGTCGCCCAATTTTTTTTTTTTTTTTTTTTTCATGGTTTGTGTCAATGTAGACGGCAACTTTCAGAAAAGATTAGGGGTGCAAGTTCGTCTGCTCCTCGTGCACAGGGTGCGCTTGTTTATGCATTCAAGTCGCATTCGTTCTGTCGCGCGCGTACCCAACAAAAAGTAGTCCATAGGTTTTTTATTGCTTTTCTTTTTCAAATGTGGTACAATGCTTTCTCAATGACCTCGGTAAAATATATGCACCATGAAACACAAAATACAGCGGGGAAAAGACGAGAATTTATCCGCCAGCAGTGTTTGAAACTGCGCCTACGCAGGCTAGTCCACTCGGTTAGGGTTAGCAGGGACGCCGGTGAAAGTCTAGCCTCAAACCCAGTGACTGGGCTCGGAAAACGGTTTGCTGTTCCTGGGGTCGAGTGTTTCTTGGAAAGGTATATACCCTGTTGGGTAGGTCAAGCTCCTCTCAGAAAGCCCTCCACTTTAGCACAACAAACGCTGGTGAGGAGGCACTAACCTCCTCTCCAGCACTAACTCTGCAAAAGTGGAAAGAGTGGAGGACTTTGCAGAAGGAGCTTGTCCTGCTTTTCTTAATCGATGGATAAATATGGCCCCATTTGTGTTTAAGGGAGCATTATCACATCAGACACACCAATCTTTTCTTGAAAAAAACACGAAACCGAATTTTAAAACAAATTAAACGATTGGCAAAGAGCACCTGGTGGATGTTGCTAAAGCCTCGTTTGTAATGCACGTCTAGGAACCTTGACAGGTAGTGACGATTACTGTCTCGCCTCTGGCTACGATGAGAGAAGAGCTGAAGGAGGAACTCCCCACTCCCCGATTCACTCTTTTCTGTGTCCCAGAAGTCGCTATTGTACCTCTACCAAGATTATAGAAGATTAGCCTGGCTACGAATGCTACGAGCCACCAGGGCCTATCCAAGGCGGTGTGAATGTCACGAAACCTTGGAAAAGGGGCACAGCGACGCGCGGAAAGTGTATCACGGGCTATGTCCTCAGAGCGGTATTGGCTGGGATAGCTCGTAGTGTCCGCTGCGTCCGGACCTAAGGTACGTAAAGTTCTGAAACAAACTACGTCACGATTGCGGTGGATGCGACATGCTCTCCGCTGGCTGCTCTCCGAGCATTTGCCAGAGTGGGCCTTAATATTTTAACGAAAAATACAGTCGTCAGGCTCAAAATACAAACATGCGATTGTCATTTAAGCATATTACAGGTATATTTCAAATTTCGTTAAAGTATCTCTCTAAATCGGGCGGCGGCTTGCGTCACCTAGCCAAAGCTTCCAATTCACATTAACTAATCTAATTAAATTCATAATCAATGGAGAAGGCCAAAATAATATTATCTAAGCACGAGCCTTCATTACCATTCTCCACAAAACTTTATTCTTCCCTTGACTTGTGCCACCACTCCAATAACCTGCAAGCAAGGATACACGGCTCTGACCTGCAACAGGATATAGCGTCACCCGGAGGCGGCTTACGAAACAGGTAATAAATCCGCTTTAATCAGCTAGATTAGTAATGTTTTTGGTGAGCGCTACATAGTATTTGATGTCAATATCCCGCCTTTAGCTAATTTCTACCAGCACCAGAACAGGACAGTTCTCGCAATATGATCATGTAATGAGTACATGCTACCTGATCACATAAGCTACATCTACCTAACGCTGCGGTGTCACGTGTCGTTTCACGTGATCTCGAGTCGTCATTTTACGTTATCAGGTGACGTCTTTACACAGGGTGATGTCCTTACACATGGTCATGCGACATATGTCGTCACACGACCCACAGTCGCAAAAACCACATGACTCGTAGCGAGACTGCGAGTCATGTTCGGTCAAATTTCAGTTCAAAAATCCGAGTTTCGTTCGTACAGCCATTGATTTTCTCCCGAGTGTGCTGGAGATTTTATTAATAATATTTAGAAAGACAACAGTGTTCACTGTTTTGAGCGCTTGGAAGACAAACATAAGAAAACGCTAGGGTGAACGTACAAGGTTCCTCCTAGGGCAAAACATTTGCATAGGCAGCGCAACCACCATGACATAATCCGTGAGGTAAAAATTAAGTTAAATTAAAAACACACCTCAACAAAATTAGTAAAAAAAGCCACGATCTTAATAAAACTTTGGTTGGGGCTAGTTGGCAGATGTCTGTGGTCTGTATAGGGGCATGTCTTCTTGTCTATAATATGATGGAATTAAATGCAAAGGTGCAAGCGAGCTGGACAAGAATGGTGAAAATAATCCCTGGAGAAGAGGGACACACGACAAACACAAATCTCCAAACACAGCTAGGTAGGCGACTGGTGCGCGACCGAAAAAATTCGGCTGGTTCGGTTATCAAACCCGGGACCCCTCCAAGTCTCATTTTCTTGTCTCATGGGTAAGGGGCACTACAAAGGCACCACGATTTCATGCTGCAGCTTTCGCTGCCCTGTAAACATAAAGTACAAAATAACCTTTAAAAAATATAGAGGCACTGCGAAACAGTAAGGACCAAGAAGTAAGACAACACAACTGTACGCGCAACTGTTTAGTGTGCCCCGTGTTGTCTTCTTGATCCTTGTTTACGGTGCTTTTATATTTTAAATTATGAACCAACTAGCCCAATTAACCATTTTGTTACACACCAACATCCATTTTCTTTTCTTTTTTTTTTTGCGTTTACATTGATTTTGCTGCCATGCACCAGTGCATAAGGAGCAGCACGAAATTAAGGGAGCTTATGGTGCTTCAGTTTCTGCTTTCGGGCACTGTCTGGGGGCATGTCTTTTTGTCTCAAGGGTAAGGGGCACTATGAAGACATTTTCGAATATGTTTTAATCGGCGGGTCTATTAGGCATGCAAATAAGTTCCCTTTGATGAGTGTCACATCATGTTTCATTGTTTTAACTCGACCTTTATTTACAGCCCTAGCTCTCCCCGCCATCACCAGGGGGCTGCAGGGACAACATGGTGTTAAAGCCCCGTCATGTTTCAAAAGTAGCACAAGGTGCGTCGAGGCACGTGCAACGTGCAGCCCTTAGGAAGATCATAACGGCACAGTGCAGCACTAAGCTAGATTTCAGACGCCATATTCTTCCCAGAAGTGGCACGCGGCACGTGTCTTCAGCATTTCCATAACAATGAATGGTGCCACTTTTCCCAGGATAGAGGGGCTTTACATAGTGTTATTGAAGTTTTCGTCACCTAGAGAGAAGAAACTGTTGGCTCATTCGATTTACCTACACCAGCCTGCACCAGTGCGAAAAATTGGCACAGTGCAGAAATGTGCTGCACTCGTAAATTGAATATGGTGGTGCGCACCAAGTGCAGCTGGTGCAGGCTAGTGGAATGCAGGAAGTGAAATTGACTGAACAAGTTTTGGCATGATCATGCGCAGATAGGAGACAAAGAGTTTCTTGATAAGGGGCCACAGTTTTCGCTTTCAGGCTCTGTATGGGGGCTCGCCTTGTCTTCTCGACTATCGTCGAGACACTTTCAAGCCTGTTGTAATTGGCAGGACACGCCTCCATTGTAAAACAATCTGCCCGAAAAGAGTTGTAGAATGGCCAAAAAGGCACAAATTGCAAAGGTATTGTCATTTAATTGTCTTGTTACGCTATTTTATATTGATAACCAGAAGTATAAAATATTTATTTAAAACAATTCAAGATTTGACAGAAAATGTCTGTTCTGCCAAACACAAGTAATTACAATCCAATTCAGTCTTGTGTGTGGAAGATGTTGCGCGTTTCCCACGTAGCTTCCTTCGCTTTCAAATGGCCAGTGGTAGTGATCGTGCGGAGTCTTCTCGGAAACTGCTAAAGGGTTTCGGGATCTGCATAGACGAGTGCATCGCTAACAATTTCACTGTAAACTCTGCAACTTCCACTGATAACCCCGATGCGTCACAGCACGCGAATATGTTTCCGGCATTCCCGCTATAAAATCGCATAAATAGCATTTAAAAGCATACCTGGAATATGCCAGAAGCTAGAAATTTCGTATAGCAGACAAAAACGTTCCGGCACAGTGATGTAAAAATTAAAGCAATATAGTGTGTGGTTTCCATCTGGCGTATAATTGGACCTGGTGGCTTGTGGTTTTGGCGCTCGGTCCATCTTAAGGTGAGGGCGGCCTTTAAGTCCAAATGCAGCCGACACACGAGGTAATGGGACCGGTCAATCAGCGTCGGAAGCGCAACTCGCTAGGCCTTTTCTGTTCAATTGGTTCAGCGATGATAGAACACTTACAGAAGCATTGAGGAACACCATGATGGTGCGCTTTTAACGCTGTTCGATTAGTCCCATCAGCTCGTAGCGCCGGCTGCATCTGGACTTAAAAGGAAGTACAAGCGTGGGACTCGATGGCATAAGCAATCACGCCGCCCGACGTAGAGTCTGAAAAAATTTCAAGTTTCCTCCGTTCTTCGCATAGAGCCAAAGACGCTGTACCATCAACGGCAGAATAATTTTAAATGTTTCTTAACCTTACGCAAATGTCGGGAGACATTATGCGCAGCATGTTTGCCAAGTTTTAGAAAGCTCATAAATAAACACCCAGCGAAGCTCAAAACACGCTGTACATCGAGTCTCCAGATTTTATCTATGAAATTAAAATATACATTTAAATTATCTGCACAAGTTTTTTTTTTTTTTTTTTTTTTCTTTTTTTAATCAAGGCAGTTTAAAGTATGACAGCATTGGTGCATACTAAAAGTCCAATGAAGGGTCAAACCCTCGCGATTTGATCCATTAGGAGGAGTGGCTTTTCTTTTCTTGATATCCCGAATTTGAGACACAAGAAACAGCAGGGGACCATCAAACAAACAAGTTTCTACTGAATCAGCACTTTGCTCCAAGATTAAACGCATCATTAATCTGTACCACTCACTAATACTTGCGATTCGGGCACAGTCAACCTGCTCAGCACAAAAATAGTTTATTTGAAACCTTCGGGCTTATTTTACACAGAGTTGCAAGGACATACAGTGCTGTTGCTCTGGTTATCACAGGTAGGGACCAACACTTTGCGTACCGCAGCAACTAGATTTCGAGTAGTTTGATGCAATGCGCATTTCCAGATTATAATTGCTTAATAAGAAGCCCACTGTTCCTACAATGAATACTCAAAAAATCATGGGGTTTAAACACTAATGAAAAAGGTGAACACCAGACCAGAGTGAAGAGCCAAGTTTGACGTAGGTTTGTGAAAGGTTTCTTTTATCTCATATCTTTCTCCTGAGAAGCGCAACCAGTATAGTGCACTTTTAGGCAATTCAAATATTGCTGTGTACATAAGCCGGCATCGATGTGTGCTGCTGTAAAGGTAGAATATGTACAAATAAACTCGGCCTTGTCATAAATAAACACGAACAGAGCCCATTCACACACTGTACAATATTTGTTGCTAAAAGCATTGAGGAGGCGCTGTGAAGAGAGCAATAGATGCTCGAAACCATCTGGGATGGCAGGCACCCGTCACAACTATTTTTCTTGCTTCCGCAACAATCTTTTTTTTTTCCTTTTCTTTTTTAAGCATTACAAAAATTATATTTTTAATGGCACCATCTGTGCATGTGCCTCAAGTGAAGGTTGGCACATTTTTTTTTTTTTTTTTTTCTTTTGCTGGCAAGCAGAGGGTTTCGCACAGCAATCTCTAGAAAGAGCAACCGAAGACCCACTCGAAAACGAGCACAGGAAAAAAGCGACAGTGTCTTAGGCAGTCAACAAACAAACAATGTGAACTTTATGCAACATATCGTCCCCCCCACAGTTCGTTCTCAAAATTACATTTGTACAAGCATAAAAAAAAAAAAAAGCACATTGGTTCGATTAAAAACACTATGTACACTGAAACTGGAGTTCACGTATGTTGCTAAAAAGTGGAAGGCCAAACGAAAAAAGCGAAATAATGGGCAATTCAAAGGGTTACGGGCTTTCAAAGCCAACGTTCCTGCACGAAAGTGGAGTGTTCACACAGTTTTTTCTCTACCCGGTTTCCTATATGACTGTCTCCAAAGCAACACACTGACACCAGCAGAGCAGCGGCAGCACGAGTCCCGTCCGTCACTGTGGTCGTCGCCGTAGGAGCCGCACCATACTTCCTCTTCGATGAGCCGCAAGAGCGCACAGTTCCGCTTCTTTGCACTTTCACACCATAGTCGATTCGCACACCCTGTGGTCTTGTCTAAGCTGCGGGGGTTGGTAGTAATTGGATGAAAGCAACAATGCACCAGTTAGAGAAGTGTTCCCTTTGGAGATTTATATGAAACATCGAATGAAGAAACAAAGACCCAAGGATTGTTCTCCAATGCTTTAGTCTCATCATTTGCTGCTCAAATCAATGATGTCACAGGGTGTAATTATGTAGTACTTCGATACCCCTGTCGCATAGTAAAATTCAATGTTATTCTTGTCGAACAACATTATCCAATTGGCCAATCCGTGTGTGCCACACCTAATGCAGCACAGTGCATGTGCATTGCCCGGAGTCGGGAACGTAAGTTGATTTGCCGACCTCTTATAGTAATTAGTTGGAAAACGCATTAAATTTTGCCATGTGGCGGAAATATTGAAGTGCTACAAAATTACGCCCCCCAACATTGTTCATTCGAGAGGCAAACGACGAGAGCAAAGCGATCTAGTCAGTTAGTTTCAGGCTACCAAAGAGGCAGGCATTTTAAAGTTGCCTCGCAACGCCGAAGAGTTAAGGGAGGGGGAAGGCAAACAGAAAATTGGTCAAGCAATTCAGGAGGTTGCGAATGTCCGAGGTCACAATTCTAATGCATCTTTGTTTCCATCCATATGTTTTAGGTGCATTTTTTGCTTTCCAGTCTCGTTGCCGGTCGTACGTGCATTAATCTCTTGTAGGTTATGCTTCGCTTCGTGAGCAGCCTGTACTGCAAGAGGCTCGTGCCACAACAAGCGGAGGGTCCAGACGGATCGCAGGATCACTTCCAAGTTTATGAAGCATTGCATACACTAAAGGTGCTCAAACAGTAAAATCCTAGTTTCACTTACAGCATGCACTTCCAAAGCTGCATCCACAGTTCCGCGTGTAGGCCGACGGGGAGCATAAAATTTCATGTGCCCACACACACTTGCAAGCAGACCTTCCTCGTCAAGTGTGTGTTTGGAAAGAAGCACCAGTCAAGTAAGAGCTAGGGACTAGCTCTTACTTGGCTGGTGCCAGTATGGCTGCAAGTTCCGATCTCGCGCTTGGTACACATTATGCACGCCGCCGCCGAATGACTTTGGGTGTGTACACCAAGCGTGCACATTCTGATCCTCACCGTGCAGGTGGCGCTAGGATATCCGAGTGCGTGGCAGCCACCGCCGGGGCCAAGGCAGCGGCCACTCGTACTGGCGCGGCACTACAGCACCCACATTCTTCTCGAAGTAGCTGAAGATAAAAAACCACCAGGCACGTGCCAGGTAGTTGTTTTGCGACGGGTTCTGGAGAAGAGACACAGAGAAACACGCACAGTCATTCCTGGGTTGAAGCAGCGAGTTTATACGAGTTGGTGGCCATACACAATCCAAATCGATAATGCTGCACCATCGCCACAACCACTGAAATCATGTTCATCTCACTACTAGCAGGTTACCGTGAACGATTGTCTTGAGATCCGTGTAACTTCACCGGCAAAAGCCAATGCATAATCATATAAAAAAAAAGAAAAAAAAAAAAGATTGAGACAAGCGAAAAAGAAAAAGTAGAGACAACACAACATCTCAAATGTAGCAACGTTGTTGTGTTTGTCCTCTTCACTTTGTTTTCCGTAGCCTTCAGAATTTTTCGGCATTGACTCGATATATTTTATTGGCTGTACCGTAATGTCCCGAGAGAGAGCCCACCTAAAATCGAAAGCAAATTGGGTGAAAATAAAAGTTGAAAAACTGCTAGGTTTTAGATTCTGTGACCTGCGAAACTTGCGATTGCAGGGAGGGACGATGAACGAAAGACTACTGTCTTTCCCAGTCGGCAATGTTTGCTTATCTCCCGACTTGGCCAAGGAACACCATTTCTGCCAAGGTCACCACTGGCCAAGGCCCTGCAATTACGAGAATTGGGCCATCTACTGGCGTCTTTGAAAAATAGCAGATCGTGACGAAAATAGGGGGCAGGTTATCTTTTAGGGCGGGGCATCTCTTGGGACATGACGGTAGATGTCCAATCACCGCAATTGGAACTCTAAAGTTACATTTCAAAAACCACCTGGTCACTTTGGACTGTAATTAACACCTACCCGCTGTTTTCGGTCGGGAAATAAGACCCTTTTCAAAATTTCAAAACGATGCATAGATTATGTGCGGCCACCATTAGTTGGTCATGCACTGTGAGCACGCATTGGACACGAGTGCTTCGTTAGCATTCGAAGTGTACTTGCATTGAAACGCATTCCACACGAGTGCTGCTTCAGTGTTCGGCGCGAACTTGGAACCAATCAAGTAGGCTTCACGCCGGAAGCAATGCGACTAACTAACGGGGGCTGTGCATAATCTACGCATCATTTCAGAATTTCAAAAAGGCTCTATTGCAGTTCACACTTCCCTCTTTTCGGGAGAGAGCTTTCAACCACACGCGATGAAGATCGGCAAGAGCCGAGGCATCTGCACTCTTGGCTGGGCGACGCCTCCGAGTTTTCACATCGATTACCACAAATCGACGAGGGGCACAGAAAGGACATGAACGCTTCATCGGCGTTTGGCTGGGACGTGTGTTCGACCGGCAAGAACACAGGCCCCAGTCTGACGCCAAAACGGCACTCGCATCCAAGCTGTCCACGCGCTAGCATCCCGTAGGAGACATGTATATCTAGCAGTATGGCCTAGGTGGTGTTGGTTGAACCATGGCCTCCGAGATCCCGAAACGTGCGAACGCTTCTCCGGCCGTCAAATTAGTGCGGAGAGGGCGTAATCGGAAAAAGGGAAGGAGGCGGCGTCTCTCTGCGGAAAGGCGCTCCCAACCCAGTCATCGACAGCATGGCGCGAAGCAGAAGATTTAAAAAAAAAAGTCTTGTTACGTCGAGTTTCTGCAACTTCTACTTCCAAACTTTTGTGTATCATGGTATAACAGTGAAACGCTGCTCTGGGGACATAGATAGACAAGTTGTGATGCTTATTTAATTTGATATATTCATCTGGACATGCTGCAGCTAGCGCTACAAGTGCACCTTTTGATATATTTGACTGCAATCCACAAAACGTATAAAACTAAAAAAAAAAAAAAAAGCTCTGTAAATAAAAAATTCAGATTTCCCTAAAAAAGGATAATCATGCTGCAATTTTTTTTTGTTTTTCACGTTGTTTGGAGTAGCTTGTTGATTCTGAGCACGAGGTTTGTTAACCTAGTGAAGTATGTGTTGTCCTTCTTTTAAAATTTTTAATATTTATTACGCAATTTTTGTGGGATCGTATTGCGGTGTTTGCTTCTACTAGAAGTACCTTTAAGCGGAGTCACACTGCTTATACATTATACAAAAGACAGTCTGCAGATATCAGTTACCACGATATCCGTGGTTCAAATGCCGCACGTCAAGTGTCTTCTTGAACTCGTTGCCGTGCGGCATTCAAAGCTCAAATCTTGCGGTGACTCGCTTTTGAACCTATTTGCAGACTGTCTTTTGTATGCATGTATAAACAGAGTGACCCCGGCTTTGGGGAAGAACCTATGGCGGTGAGATACGAGCACCTCACAATGATTCCGCTATTTTTTATTTTTTTTTATTTTATAAACTTCGTTATAATTGTAGGTACTGATTTTTTAGTCAGGCCACCGTATCCCGTTATGCACTTTGTGATTTAACTTAATTGATATGCAAACAAACAATGGGATCTAAAAAAAAAGTACTCTGGTTTATTTATAAATTCCAACCTTGTTCCTACCTTGTTTATTCTGTATTCCAACCTGGTATATATTTACAGATTCCAAGCCTTCAATTTTTAGGTTAGATGCGAAGTACTTTGCGATGCAATGGCTTCAAGCAGTTTCTTTTGATATGCTACCCTGTCTGTCATAGTCATGCCTATGTTGACCAGGAATGGCCATACAAACTTCTCAATTAAAATCCTAGAATTTTTTGTCTCATGGTCATCTCTTGTAGCGCAAATAAAACTCCAAAAAATTTTAGCTTCGTACAAAAAATATATATATATATTTCCCCGAGTAGAAAGAACCATGCTCTACCTTTTTTTTTTTTCTTTTTTTTTTTATTCGGTGAGCTCGAGTTAACCCAAGATGAAGCACGACGACGCGGCTGACACCACCCACCCGCGATGCCTGCGACTAGAGGTCTGCACGGGCCGATGTTTAGCAGCCCGGCCCAGCCCGGCCCATTGTCTATTGGGTCCTGACTTGCTTGCGGCCCGCTATCCATTTCCGACAGCCAGTCCGGTCCGGACCAAAGCTAATTTTCACGGACCAGCTGCGCTTTATTTTAGCCAAGTATGAATAGCTCACAAATTGCGCAGCATGGCAGCACGCTTGCCACTGCTACATAAAAGTTCATTACAATACCCAATAGAATTTTTTTTTTGCTGCTATTATTAGTTGGGTTAAACTTCAGGCGTAGGCAGCTTGTTAAGAAAAACTACCCCGATCTTCCTTTTCTGCGACCAGACCCGCGCGGAAAGGACGAAAAAAACAAAAATGACAAGCAGCAGTAAACAAAACCACCTGCCACAGTTGAAAAGGAAGGGAAACGTCGCGACGGGTTTGGACAAAAGACGGACAAAGTTCTAAATTAACCACTCTCGCTGCGCACAATCGTAAAAAAAGAGAAAAAAAGAAAACAATGTTGCTGTCTTTTGCAGTGCTCTGCGAGAAATTGTTCAGGAAAAGTACCCCTCAGGGGAACCTCCTTACCCATATTGGGGATGCAAGCAGTCATACATACAGATGGTTTACGCCGGCGAGGGTGCGCATTGTGTAGGCGCGGGTGTATGCTTGTTGGTAATGGGAAGCGATTGTATGATGGCAGCGACGCTGGGAATGAAGAGCAAAGCCGCGCCGCTAGTCCTCTGGAAGAGCATTTGCTGCACACGCCCGAACCGACAAAAACATACACACACACACATGCGTCAGCATCTGTTTACCCCCCACTGTGGTTCCTCTTCCAACCCCCAGCACGCTTCCAAAGAACATGCCGCAAAAAAAAAACAACTAATGGTTGGCTTGGCCCGCTTTGGCCGCCCTTGTGGACTTGAATGCAAGGCCCGCAGTGTGGCCTGTACCTGCGCAGATCTTTACCTGCAACGCTGACGGCTCACCCCACTGTTATGACTGGGCAGACATCGCCCCCTCGCGGCGAATGACGGAGTTAGCGCGATTACACTCCTACTGCTGGGGAGAAACTCGAATGGGACGACCGGAGAAGCCTTCGCGCGCGCGCTTTGGGATCTCTGAGGCTATGGTTGAACTGTTGGCTGGGGAGGGGGGGGGAGGAAGGGGTCCGACCTTGAGAGATTGGTTGTTGGCGAGTGTGTGGTAGACCCAGAAGAGCCTTGTCGTGACATAGTAGCCAATCACCACGTCCACGGTGTAGTGGCCCCGCGAGAGCAGCACCATGAGAATTCCGACACAGCTCAGTGTCAGGTAGGTGATGTGCACCACCTTGCACCGCTGTGGTGAATCTGCATGCAACAGAGTCGGAACGTTGGGACACTTTGGGCTGAAGAATGGAGGCGGAACCTTGGTTTGCGTTTATAAACATTAACCAAAAATGTGTATCTGAACGGTGTGGCCATGGTTACGCCTCATTCAATAAAAAAAGATAAAGACAAATCGAAAACTAGAGATTGCAGTTATGTGGGCCCTTTCTGTATGAATGTGAACAAACATTCGACTATTTTCCCCAACAGGAGGAACATACTAGCCACACTTCCCAAACATGTATGCCAGAAATGCTAAATACATAATTCCAAGTTGGAAAAGGAAACAAAAAAAAAGGAGATCTAGAGACTCCTCGAGCTACAGCATTCAAGGACACTGAAGGTTACTTGTGACGTTACAAAGTCTGAGACCTAGTTACTTGGAAGAAAAAAGAAAGACCTATTCCAAGGCTGTAAAAGCTACATCACCATTGTATTAGCATTTATCACTGGGTTTTAGAGGTCTACTAGTAGTAGGAGCTAAAATGGGCATCCGCAGTATTTGATTTAGGTAGTTCCCACATACAAAATGTAACTCCACCACCAAAGCTATTGGCTGACTGCATTGAACAGCATGATGCACACAGGATGTTTAAAAAACATATACAAAGGAAAAAAAAAAAGTTGTGTTTACAGATACATTTACAACGCGAAATATATTTGTAATTAACACCCACGGGAGCCCACGGAAAAGTGGCAACAAACAAGCAGTCACATGACTGGACACTGGTCGCATGGTGCTTGCACTCTTTGGAGAGCTTCCTATAGACCTTTTTCGCAAGGGCGCCGCCATCTTAAATTGTCGTCACTTCCAGTATGGGCGAAAACATTGTTTTGCCGTCGTTACGCCAATGGAAGGCATTTAGGACATAAACGTAACTGTCACACATTCTCGTTTTGCCTCCCCTCTAATTTTTTACTATTTGCATGTTGAAACGAATATTTTTTCGTCGCCCATACCGGATATGCCTACTTGGCGGTCGGGACGAGAGTAAGCGGAAAAGGTCTATGGGCTCTAAAAGTTACTTATTAATCTTCGCTCTTTTGTTGCACTTGTTTTTTTAACAAAATATCTTGATGCTTGAGAAACAACAAGTATAAGAAAACCATCACTTCCATTTCGACTCGTACAATAACAAACAAAAGCTTTGCAATTTTCTGTTTGAAGGGGTGTGATAGCACATGTTTTAGTTTCTAACATGTCGGTTCCCCCAAAGCGACGCCGCCGCTCGACGAAGGGCTGCAGTCCTCGTGATCGTCGAGCAGCGGTGTCGCCTCGGGGGAACTGACATGTTAGAAACTAAAACATGCGACATCGCACCCCTTCGAACAGAAAATGACAAAACTTTTGTTTGTTGTCCTATAAAAGTAAAAACAGAAGTGACGATTTTCTTATACTTGTTTCTCAAACATAAAAATATTTTGTCAAAAAAATAAGTGCAACAAAAAAAAAAAAGATTAATAAGTAACTTTTAGAGTCCATAGAAAGCTCCCCAAAGAGTGCAAGCACCACGTGACGAGTGGCCAGTCACGTGACTGCTAGTTGCCACTTCCCAACGGGCCCCCGCGGGCGCCAAGAACAAATTTAAACAAAAAACAAAAACAATAAAGCTCTGAAGGAATTATTTTTTCATTATAAATTTATTTTATGACATTTTTTTCTCCTCTAGGGTGTTTAAAAAAAATATATATTTTGTCCTTTGCATTTTTTTTAGCACTTTCAGATTTATAGCAGTACACTTTCATTTCCAAGGTCAACGAGCAGAGAGGCGTCCACATGGTGAGACTTACATTCTCTGACCACGAGGTAGGCCAGGGTTAAAATGACTGTGTGCCCGCTGTAGATGTAGTCTCCACAGAAGGTGTGCTGGCCGTTTATGGACAGCCCGAACCCACTCAGCAGTTGCGCGACCCTCTTCAGTATCAGCAGCGGATTTGTGGTGTTGGCCTGAAAAAGGCGAACGAGCACAGCACCCTGAGCATGCAGCCACGGTAAGCTCTTACTGCATGAGATGGCCAAGATTAACATAGCCTTTTATGACATGTCGACTAGACCTCCCGAAATCGCACAAGAGCTCTAACTGCCTGATACAGTTAGCATAAGTTGGAAAGGGGAGCTCCTGGAAGCCTCGAAGTTGCAGCTAAAATTTTGCCAAGAGATTTACCAAACTTCTTCGGGAACATCAGCTGTCATGCTGAGGTCCTCAAAAGGTTCATTCTCAAGTTCTCAGTAACACCTTCAGGTATTTTCAGTATTTGTTTAGAGACATAAACATGATGTCAACACCCTCCTAATGGGCTGGCATCAAGCACCAAATCTTGCCATCAAAGTTGATGCTGCAAGTATGCATACTTCAATTCATTAAGTATGTAGTAGAAGTACTAAAACAGCCTCACAAATATATTTTAAAAAAAACAGTAAGCGACTATGTTTTAGCTACCACAAAATACAGAACATGCACCCATGTTTCACAAGCTCCTACCACCTATTTTTTGGAAATTTGAAATGGATAAGGCAGTTTACGTGCCCACCCCAGAAATATTCTGAGCTAACCTAGGTACTCCTCCATGTCAACTCCTACTCAGAGAATCCGGTGCAAGTTTTATGAGCGGCGTGTCATTGCAAAACAAAGCCGGAAGTCAGAGGTACAGCGCAAAGCAGGTTCGACGAGAGCAGTGCAGCCGTTTTAAAAATTAAAAGTTTTCACCAGAACCCTGCACTGCTCCTATACCGTTGGTTCGATCAAACAAGCGCCTACCCTATCATGTGTCCCTCTGCTTTTCTGTTCTTTGACCTGACAACCCCACCAATCTTTATTTTCTCTCAATTATCTTCTACCTTTGCACGAGCGCTTGATCAATATTTTATGGTAACTGCACTGCACTCTGTACACAATCCGGTTAAAAAATTAAAAAGTGAAAATAGGACTTACTTTTGGAGAACAGTAATAGGTTGTACTAGCAACTGGAACTTGAGTGACAAACATTGTAATACTCCTCATAAAGTATAAAAGGCCCATGATGAGAAAGACACGCTGCAGAATAATCCACCTGCGGAGAAACAATGGGAAAGTGCACGTCAGCATGTATGACATAAGTTACAGGCCCTTGGGAGGGAGACTAAAACCTTTGATCCCTGGACAACATTGCAGCCTGCATATGCATATAGTGATATAGCATGCATCATTTTCATCCTTTTTTTGTGGTATTAGCTATTGGACAACAATGCAGCCTCTATACTGCATAGAGCCATATAGCACGCATCATTTTCATTCTCTTTTCCTGGTCTCTAAATAGGAAATAGTTTCAATATCCAAATGAACAAACTATACTGATTGCATGGGAAAGGAGGTTACAAAGCCGCCAAAAGACAAAGATTTTGCGGGGTTGAAAATCAAGTTCCTGGTCTCCTCATTACCAGTGAGTTAATGTAGTGGTGAGCACACCTCACAGATAATGAGAATAGCCAGGGTTCGATTCCCGGCACTGAAAAATGTCGTCTTTCGGCGTCTTTGCAATCTTTATCCAAATCGACCAGTACGGTTTGACTATTTCGCTATACGGTGTGTGCACCTTGAAAATTCTTGAACTAATACACTGTTAAAACAAAGTGAAAGAATCAAAGATACTTAGAATTTACAAACAGTCCAAGCACTAAGTTTCTTTTATAAAGATCCTCCAAATTCACACATGCATCACAATAATGCTCATGACTGACTGAAATTCAAAGGCATTTCGACTTTCATATAGTAACACAAGATTCGGCAATTTTATGAAACAATATTACTAGGTAACCTAAAATAACTTTAAGAAAGGAAATTAAAAGAAGGCAAAGACAGCTGGCAGAACCCCCCAAATCACTTAAAAAAGTAATATTTGGTAGAATATCCATTATATGAAGCTTTGTTATTTTATGCCATTGTTACGGCAACTACTGGGGAACTCCACTGTAGGATTTCCAGTGAATTTCGGGCCACTTTTCTGTTGGTATAAGCTAGCAATTACTGCCCAATATACACAAGCATAGATCACTCTAAATCCACCAACAGAATTCACTATTAGTTATCATGCACTGCCTTGAAAACTTTTTGTTTTTTCATTTTGTCTGTATATGAATAACCTAGGACCACTAAATGTTCCAAAAGTTCCTCAGTCCATGGAATGTGTTTGTTATGAAGATAAAGTTTTCTGCCAAGCAGGTGTCAACCATGTCACTGTTCACATTGCCAAGGATGATATTTCGTCTGGCGGTTTATACTCATTTAGAAACCTAAAGGAGGTTGAGAGCACAAGGTCATAGCATGCTAAATGAGTTTAATATTTTAAATGGCAGTAGAACCAAAACATTTTCTTAAGTGCCTTGCTCTTGCACCTTTCTCAACTCTGAAACAGCTGCCAGAGCTGTGCACGCCTGTATTTTTGTTTCCACGAAGTTAAACGGAGCATTAGGTGCACCCCTACGAGAACACACCGGCTGCAGAATTTTCTTGCAGAGCTCCTAGCTTAAAGGCCCGTTCACACTCTTGCAACCGAGTACGACTGAGAGAGACGAGATCTCTTAAAACTTCTTAAATGTTTTTAGAATGAGGGAACACACTGGCGTCATCTGTGCGGTGACCCTGGAACTGCATTTCACGAGAGCAAAGGTTTTGCGGGATTTCCGAGGTCAAATGTGCGTAATACCCATAGAAAGGCTCGTTTATAACATTGACAAAAGTTTTTCGAGCCAAAAAAAGAAAAGATAATGCGTGAGAAATAAAAAAAAAATATGCCGGACCGCCGAGTGTACACTACTTCCCAATAGATGGCGCCAGTGTGTTCTCTGGTTTAAGAAGTTTTAAGGAACACAGGTTTAAGAGGTTGCAAGAATGTGAACGGGCCTTTAGGTTGAACTTATAGCTTCTGCTAATGCACTGATCACACAGAGCACCCAAGCTGGTCGGCACACTTTGGAATAAATTGTTGCCAAATTTCTTTGCGGCTATGTTTTGTGACAGAATATATTACAAATCCTTAGAAGTATCGCAACTCTACAAATACATTGCAAGCAATAATATGCCTTTAGACATATATTACAAATATATGCTACAAATACTTGCTTACAAATACGTTTCAAATATTACAAAAGGTCCTTACAAATATATTGCTTACAAATATGTTACCAATACTACAATGTTTAAAAATATATATTAGTGTAAGTCACAAGCGAGACTCCTTGTAAAAGCTGGGACGAATCAATTAACAGACATCTCAATGGTCAATCTTGGCATTATAGTCAAGGAGGAAGAATGTTTGCAAACCTTTGCACAAACAACAAATTTTCAAGCTTTCAAACAGCGTCTAAACATGTTTTCACACCCGAGAAATATTCCTCGTCCTTCAAGCAGGTAAACTTCAACATCAGGGCCTGGATCGGGTCTTTTATAATGAATGACACGCAAATTGACTCCAGCCTGCCCCTGCCAAAACGAAAAAAAGAAGCCCCTCAATGGATATGTAACCAAACGCTGGCCTACGGTGGCGGGTTTGAATCTCGGCCGAGGTGCCCGCAATCTGACTGAGGCTAATTGCATAGAAGGCACCGCATGACTGAGCTCTCAGTTGCATGTCAAAAGGTCCCTGGGCAGTCAAAATTGATCCTCAGTCCTCCGCTGGGGCGAGCTAGATGCTTTTCGTCGGTTTGGCACGTAAAACTCCCAAATTTGACTGATTTGCCGAGAAGATACCTGTAGCGGTGGATGAGCAGCAGCAGCAGAGTGGACCAGATGCACACGATGATTATGACCTCGGACACGTCGAGCGCCCAGTCTAGCGGCGGAAAGAGGTCGAAGAAGACGTCCGGCAGCGGCGGGTACTTGGTCCGGTCCGGGATGCGCTCGTGCACCATGGCCAGGCAGGTGAGGTTCAGGATGAGGTTGCCGGACAGGAAGCTGAAGGCCACCAGGGTCTTAAACTTCTCCTGCACGATGCGCGGCTCGCTGCGCTCGGGCGCCGCCAGCTCGATGCTGATCACCGCGTCGCTGCCCAGCAGGTCGCCGTTCTTGTCGCGCCTGTTCAGGGCCTTGCGGTAGCCGTCGTGCAGCGGGCTGGCGCAGTCGCCGCCGCCCTGCTCGGGGGGCCACGAGCTGCCCGGGGCGCCGGCCACGCCGTTGCACAGCAGCGGCTGCCCCTCAGCGCCCGTCGAGGACAGCGTCGTCTCCATGACCTGTACCATCATCGGGGCCTAGCTCCGGGTCGGGGCGCTGCTGGTCATCGCAGCCGCTGCGCCGGCTCGTGCCCCTCCTGCAAGGCGGACATGACGGGCTCACTAAGATCTCATGGAGTTTCAAGGTGAAAATAATTAAATACGGCTCGGGGGGAAGAGAGCTTCCGGACAAAACAATTTCGAAACTGCCGCGGCTTGCCCGTCGACGCTTCAATAACAAGCTTCCGTGAGAGGACTCGAAAGCTAGGCGTCGTAGCACAACGTCGGCTGTTGTTCAAAGCTTGATGAGAAACTTGAAAGAAGCCTCAAGTCGCGGACGACGCCTCGTTGAAAATATTCCCCGAACAAGCTAAGTCAGGACACACTGGGTGCCTGGACTTCGGGGGGACGAGCCCCTTTTCAAGTCCTTCCAAACCAGCTTCGACCACATTCGCGTTTTGTTTGCACCGACTGAACAGCAGAATCGTGACGCTCGCGTCAATACACAGACAAGGCAACGAGGAGACACAAACCATAGCGTAAACATGTCCACTGCCTCGAAGACCGCTGAGCCGGATTATCCATCGCGGTAGTAGTAAATCAGGCGGGTAGAGAAAGCGACACGACGGCAGTGGGAGCACTGTTTAGCAAGTCGCGGAACACTAGAGACAGCAGACGACGAACGAAAGGGCCAACAACACCGGACGAAGGCCCTTCAGACGGGAGGGGACTCGAGATTAGATTCCGTCCAGCTGTCTGTACTTTTTTTGTTTTGTGTCTTTTCTTCCTCAATCTCGGGCGAGTTTGTCGACGTCATACACGTCAGCTCTACCGCGTCATCGCAGTTTCGTCAAGAAAAGCGGTTGGTTATCAGCGACGCAACAGAAGCCCGATCTGGTACGCCGCCGGGCATATGTCACTGACAATTAGATCATCCTGCAGATAAAGGTCGCATCGCTTCGAATCAGACAGCCCGCTCGCTCGCTGCGTCGAGCCGCAACGACACTGCCTACAATAACCACACACACACGCACGAACAAGTCGCAAGCACGCAGTTCGTTGACCCAGGACATTCCGGCCGTGATACCTTTTTCGTGCGGTTGACATCAGAGGCGACGGAAGCCGCCGAGCTCCGCGGTCGCGAAGAACGCGGGGGCGTCGATGGTAGGGCCAGATCTTGTTTACGAGTAGCCAAGGTCTACCACGCACGCTTGCGACAGGCAAAGCGCGGAGCCTGGGCGCCAACGCGAGCGGCCATGCTTGAACGTTCAGCTCCACAAGGAGCGTTCAAGCATTCTTGTCGACTTCGTGTCTGAAGACGAAACTCGACAGACGCCACCACTGGCGCGGCAGGCCATGTGCGAAGCTGACCATATACGAGTACTTCGTTCTTTTCGCTTCTGGACTATGTTTCTGTTTCACTGAAGAAAATGACAACCTAGCCATGCTCATAGAAAAAATCGTAAGGGTGCAGGCGAGCTGGTGAATATTAACCATGTTGAATTAACCTGAGACTGGGGTGGAGAAGAAACATCAAAACGTAGAAGGGACAGAAAATAGACAGAACGACGTCTCATGAGACGTCGTCCTGTCTATTTTCTGTCCCTTGTACGTTTTGAAGTTTCTTCTCATGAGGCGTCGTCCTGTCTATTTTCTGTCCCTTCTACGTTTTGATGTTTCTTCTCATGAGGCGTGGTCCTGTCTATTTTCTGTCCCTTCTACGTTTTGATGTTTCTTCTCCACCCCAGTCTCAGGTTAATTCAACATGGTTAATAGCCATGTTCATTTGACTTTCTGTCAGAACAAATAGAGGCTCAAATAATGGGCGTCCGTCCCCGCCATTCTACGATGTGGACGGACAAGCAGTTTTGATGACAGCGGACCAATTCTAGGGAATGGCAGCAAAAGCCGGCGATCGCTTGTTCGCGCCAAGTCCCGCTTCAAACGGGGCAACTTCTCCCAGCAGCTTGACATCGCAACACCAGCAACACGGGCCGCCCGCGACGCCGCGTTCACACGCAGCAGCCGAATAGCTACGATTTGCCATCATCATCATGAAATTTTATTTTTCTTGCACTATTTAGACACACCGTTACGCGCTATAAACGTGTTTTTATACATTTAAATGGCGTTGATAATATTAACTCATCTTTCTGAAACGGTTTATTCCTAAAACGCGATTCATTTCAAACCAGAACCAACTCTTTAGTTGTCATCATCACCGCCACGGGGTGTCACGTGAAAATATCGCGTCCCTTATTGGCTGCTACCGCTTCAAACGACTTGTCCGACTCGCTCGTCCGTTTCGAGCTGGACGCGATCCGAGCCAGTATCAAGGAAAAACTAGCGAACAAGTCTCCAGCAGCACCGTAACTGTGTATACCCGAGCGCTCTCTGGTTTCGAGGAAGCGCTAAGGCACGAGTTGCCACTTGTTTCCACTGCGATACCGCTTTGTCTGGGTTGGACCACGTGACGTCAAAAACAAATAAACATATAAAAATAACTTAGTGCAGGCGAGCTCTGGTGTGCGTTGAACATGACGGTAAACCCCGATACTGCAATAAAACAATAAACAAGAAAAAAAAAGTTATCTGTTTTACTTTTGTCTGAGGGTTCATTGTCATGCTCAACAATAAACATGACTGCCATTCAGCCGGACTTTTTTCTTTTGTCAATTCATGATGATGATGATGATGAACTGACGAAAGAAAAAAAAGTCCGGCAGAATGGCAATGATGATGATGATGATGATGAACTGACGAAAGAAAAAAAAGTCCGACTGAATGGCAATCATGTTTATTGTTGAGCATGACGATAAACCCTCAAACTTAATACATGATGGATTAAGCCTTGAGGGCCCTTACGGGTATTACACAAGGGTTTAGAGGAGCGAAAAATTGTTAGATAAAGGCATATCAAAACAAATTGCTTGGCGTATGCAACATCGATCCTCCCAATTGAGGATAAACTGCGGTTGTCAGTCTTGAACCGATACGACTTGATCCCTTCGAATGGAAACGTAAAATATATTTTGTACGCTACTGCAGTTATTATAAAGGAAGTATTGAATGGGGTACGCGAATGACTCCCGAGATATGTAAATCAGGGGCCCGTGGGGACAAGGTATGAAGGAAATACTACTATCGAACTCAAGTCATAAAAAGCTGGATTCCTCAGCAGCTAATCAACTATACTTAGGTCGCTGTGGGAGCGAGGGAAACTCGGCTACCGCAGTTAGGCGGCGCGAGGTTTTGCAATCAGCGAAATAAACACGACAAAAAAAAAAAAAACAAAAAAAAAAAAACAAAAAAAAAAAAACCTAATCGCACTTTATCACATACCGATTACAAAGATGTCACCACAGAGCAAAACCGATCGTTAAAGATGCGCGCCGACAGAACGATTGAACCTGATTAAACAGTAGCGTGATGCTCAACTTCCCCGAAGAAGCGCGGACAACGATGACACAAGATAAGGAAACGTTGCCAACCGACGTTTTCACGTTGCTGCCCCCTTTCCTGCGGACCCTTTTCGGTGGCCGGGATAGCACGCGCGCCGATAAGCAACAACGAGCACCGGACGAACTGCGAATTCCTCCGTGCGTTCCATCTTATCTGTCAGCTTATCGGCGTCGTCCACGCAAACAAAATATTAGTAACTCCGACACGAGAGGCCTGCCGCTGTGAGTTATCGAGGCGTCTACGTGGCGTGGCGCGTGTAGCAGCGACAGCTCTGTAGACCCGTAATCTGCGCGCGATGCTCTTCACCATTTGCGTGTCGGTTGTTTTCGCGGCCACAGAACATATCTTGCCAAGTCGACATTCGACGCCCACCCAATTGCCGTTAAAAAAAAAAAAAAAAAAAAAAAAAGTCCAAAGACATTCCAGATACATTACGACGACCAATGAACCATTTGAAAAAGAAAATATTATTCCTGTTGTATACAACAGTATCGTACCCCTGTGGAAAGTCACGTGCAATTTGTCGGAAGGTTGGAACCATTGCACAATGGCGGAACAACTGACACCGCGGAGCGCGCAAGTCTCGTTAGATCAGATGGCGACGAAATTAGCATTCATATATGCTTCGTTTCACCATACGTTGGATCGTAGCCAACGCTAGGAGCCGATGAGCCAACCAAATAGCGCCGAAAGCGCAACGACACCGCGTTCATCAAGTGACGTTGCGGTTTTAGTCGATTTGTGTGCGTATTTTGTGTCCGCCACTGTGCAGAGCTACAAAAATCACATTTATCATTCCCATTGAGGATTACCTTTTTGAGCGCAGTTTTTACAAAAGAAGCCTTCTTCCCACTCAGCTCGATCAGCGCGCAGAGAGAAAAGGGAACAAATCCGTATATTGCTCGACCATATCCAAACCAAAGGAAGTACGTGGTCGAGCAGTTTTAGGGGCGAAGCTCCTTAAGGGGTATCCACACGAAGGAGAACTCCGCGGACGGATGTCGTGACGTCATCAACCCATTAAACTCCGTCCCCGGCTCCGCCGCGTGCACCTGCGGAGCTCTCATGCTAAAAGTACGAGGCCTCCGCGCCTCCGCCACGGAGGAGAACGGCGGCGCGAGGCCGCGAGGCGTCAAAAAGAGATGACGTATGTCTCACGTGATGCGCGCTCCGCGGAGGAAAGGGGCGGATTTCTCCTTCGTGTGGATACCCCTTTAAGGTATCCACACGAAGGAGAAATCCGCCCCTTTCCTCCGCGGAGCGCGCATCACGTGAGACATACGTCATCCCTTTTTGACGCCTCGCGGCGCGTTCTCCTCCGTGGCGGAGGCGCGGAGGCTTTGTGCTGACAGCACGAAAGCTCCGCAAGTGCACGCGGCGGAGCCGGGGACGGAGTTTCCCGGGATGTTGACGTCACGACATCCGTCCGCGGAGTTCTCCTTCGTGTGGATACCAACTCCGCGGACGGATGTCGTGACGTCAACATCCCGGGAAACTCCGTCCCCGGCTCCGCCGCGTGCACTTGCGGAGCTTTCGTGCTGTCAGCACAAAGCCTCCGCGCCTCCGCCACGGAGGAGAACGCGCCGCGAGGCGTCAAAAAGGGATGACGTATGTCTCACGTGATGCGCGATCCGCGGAGGAAAGTGGCGGATTTCTCCTTCGTGTGGATACCCCTTTTAAGGGGTATCCACACGAAGGAGAAATCCGCTCCTTTCCTCCGCGGAGCGCGCACCACGTGAGACATACGTCATCCCTTTTTGACGCCTCGCGGCGTCGTTCTCCCGTTCTCCTCCGTGGCGGAGGCGCGGAGGCTTCGTGCTGTCAGCACGAAAGCTCCGCAGGTGCACGTGGCGGAGCCGGGGACGGAGTTTCCCGGGTTGTTGACGTCACGACATCCGTCCGCGGAGTTCTCCTTCGTGTGGATACCCCTTTAGGGGCTAGCCATGTCCGTATGTCCGTCCGCCGTCCGGCTTGCCCCTGCTCGTGAGCTCACGAGCAGGAGCTCACGAGCTCTTGTTCGTAAGTTCAGCAGCGAGAGCAAGAAAAAAAAAATAAAAAAAAAAAAATAACGGGCTCTGAGATGCCATCCCATCTGTCTTCTTAAAAAAAAGAAAAAGAAGAAAACCACACATTTTTCTACTGACATGAATGAAAACGGCACCATCAGCACTACCTATGACCAAAATTAGTATCAAGAAAAAAAGAAAAAAAAAAAAGAGTAGGGGGTTCTGAGTTGCCATCCCATCTGTCTTCTTAAAAAAAGAAAAAGAAGAAAACCACACATTCTCCCACTGACATGAATGAAAACGGCACCATCAGCA